GACACATGTTTCTTTGTGTGGGGGAAGTGAGTGGACACATCCCGTTGCCTGGCTCGCTTTAACATTAGGCATGAACATTTCATTTGTTGCAAATCAGAGTTCACGCACACCCACACTAAACTTGAGGTGACAAAACACTCGGGTACACTATCTCAGCCAAACTCCCTCGCGTCCTGGCCCATTCCTCCAACTGACAACTCCTAGAGCAGTACGCGATGTGGCACCCCGCGCAGCGTCGGAAGGACCCCTCACTCATCTCCCTTCGCCCACACTCGCGATTCCCACATGCCTGCAGTTGGCTCAGCAGCTGGTGCTGCCGTGCAGTTATTAGGGCAGATGCGCGTTGGTGCAGGAGAAGGTGGTGTACTGCTTGTGTTGGTGGTGTGTGTGGAAGTGGTGCTTGCTGCCGAGTCTCGTGTATGCTATCCAATTGCAGCACCTCCTGGTGTTGCGAAAATTGTATGCATTGTTGTTGCTGCTGCTGCTGCTGCTGCCCTCGCCGCCCCGTGTGCCCCGCTCCCTCGCGTCCTCGCATTCCTCTCTCCTCGCTCCCTTGTTCCCTCGCCTCCTTGCATTCCTCTCTCCTCGCTCCCTTGTTCCCTCGCCTCCTTGCATTCCTCTCTCCTCGCTCCCTTGTTCCCTCGCCTCCTTGCATTCCTCTCTCCTCGCTCCCTTGTTCCCTCGCCTCCTTGTTCCCTTGCTGCTTGCTCCTTGCCTCCTCGCTCCCTTGCTCCCTTGGTCCCTTGCTCCATTACTCCGTTGCTCCCTTGCCCGTTTGCTCCGTTGCTCCCTCGCCTCCTTGCTCCCTTGCCTCAGGTGACACAGGCCGAGCGCCCTGCCCTGCCCGCGCGCCGCGCCGCCGCGCGCCCTGCCTTGCCCGCGCGCCGCTCGCCGCCGTGCGCCCTGCCCTGCCCGCGCGCGGCTCGCCGCCGCGCGCCCTGCCCTGCCCGCTCGCACCTTGCCGCCGAGCGCCCTGCCCTGCCCGCGCGACGCTCACCGCAGCGCCACCCTGCCTTGCCCGTGAGCCGCCCTACGGCCTAGTGCGGGACTCTGCTCCCCAACACCTTTCCCCTTCCGCACTCGCGCTGTCACCAACTCAGCTGCTCCCCGTGCGCAGCCCGTACAGCCCGCGTTAGGCCTTAGCGCCGCTCGTACAGCCCACGCCAGGCCCGCGCGCAGCCCGTACAGCCCGCGTAGGCCCAAGCACAGCCCGTACAGCCCGCACTAGGCCGTCGCGCAGCCCGTACAACCCACGTCAGGCCCGCGCGCAGCCCGTACAGCCCGCGCCAGGCCCGCACACAGCCCGTCCAGGCCCGCGCGCGGCCCGTGCCACTGCTGCACTCGCTGCTGCTGCTGAGCAGCTCCTGCCCACCGCGCTGCTGCTGCCGCTTGCATTGCGCTGCTGCTGCTGCACGCGCTGCTGCACTGAGCTGCGCCGCGCCGCGCTGCCCTGCCCAAACCGCGCCGCGCCGCGCCGCCCTGCCCGAGCCGCGCCGCCCTGCCCGAGCCGCGCCGCCCTTCCCGAGCCACGCCGCCCTGCCCGAGCCGCGCTACACTGCCTTCCTGCTACTGCTGCTGCTGCTGCTGCTGCTGCTCTTGCTGCTGCTACTGCTACTGCTGCTGCTACTACTACTGTTCTGCTGCTATGGCAACCCCTACTGTTCTCACCTTTGACGGAGAGGGTCACCCGGTAGACTTCGAATCCTGGCTTGAGGATCTCCACCTGTACCTACAGAGCCAGACTAGGGAGGATGTCTCACTGTTTGAGCATACCTCTGGGACCCTAGCCGCCCCTGCTGCCACAGCTACTCGTGTAGACCAGTCCAGGTGGGCGTCTCGTGACGCTACTGCTGCTCTTTCTGTCCATAGCCACCTTCCGTTAGACCAGCGCTCTCACTTTCGCCAGCTTAAGACGGCCAAGGCGCTTTACGACGCTGTAGTCACACGCTACTCGTCCCCGTCGTCTGCCACTGTAGGCCGTCTAGCGCTGCCGTTCCTCTTTCCCGAGCTGTCGGAGTTCTCCACTGTAGCCGACCTCATGACTCACCTGCGCTCCCTTGAGACCCGCTACGCTGCCGCCCTCGAGCCCGCTTTTAGGGCTGGAAACAAACCACCCACTTATCTCACCCTTTACTTTCTCACGACCCGCCTCCCTGACTCCCTTCGTGCTGTACGCGACCACTTCCTCGCCCTAGACCCCACGAAGATCACCCTCGACACGTTCGAGTCCCGTCTCTTGGAGGCGGAGTCTGCTGCCCTAGCTGTCGCTGCCTCTCGTGGCACTCCCCACCCCTCTGTCTTTGAGGGGTGCTCCCCCTCCCTGCTAGCGTCGTCTGTTGCCTCTGCTGCTGCTGTTGACCTCTTCGGTGCTGAGGAGGTCGGAGCTGCTTCTGCTCCTAGTGGGAAGCGCCGCAGCGGCAAGGGCAAGGGTGGCAAGGGTGGGGGTGGCGGGGGCAGCGGGGGTGGTGGCGGTGGCGGTGGTGGGGGAGGAGGAGGTGGAGGCGGCAGGGGAGGAGGAGGGGGTGGAGGGAGCAGTGGGGGTGGTGGCGGGGGTGGGGGTGGCACTAGGGGCGCTACTGGAGGGGGTGGAGCTGGAGGCTCGACTACATGCACTGCTACGTCTGGTGGTGCAGCCGGTGGTGGAGGCGGCTCTGGGGGTGGACAACTGCAGCTCTCGCCGCAGCAGCTTCGTGAGTGGGCGATCAGGCGTGGCAGCTCGGGTGGCCCAGCTCGCTGTGGGTACATCCGTCGCACAGGTCAGCCTGGCGTGGCTTGCACCCGCACTGACCATGCGGAGCCTCGCTGCTTCTTTCGCCTCGACGACCTGTATCGTGCGGAGCATGGTGAGCAGTTGAAGACTCCAGACTGGTTAGCCTTGCTGAAGAAGGACATTGATGTCTTTGCTTGTGATTGGGACTTGATCCATGCTGGCATGTATGCGATGTATGCTGCTTCTGCTAGTGTTGAGGAGGACTGTTACTTGTGTGCGCCAGGAGTTGCTAGGGTAGAGGCTGCTAGTCTTGGTGCCGTTGACTCAGCTAGCACATGTGCAGAGCCTGAGGAGGCCTTGCACACCTTTACTCTCGACTCAGGCGCGTCTCGTTGCTTCTTCCGCGACAGCACCATAGTCACATCGCTCACAGTCCCTGTCCCTGTCACACTGGCCGACCCCTCTGGGGGCCCGGTAGTCGCGCGTGGCGCCACTGTTCTCCCTTGTCCGGCGGCCCCTTCCGGCCTCCTCACAGGTCTCCAAGAGTAAATGGACGTGACGGTCCATACACGCGCGGGCTGCTGCTGCAGCTGCTGTCGGTCCATCCACAATTGCTCGCCTTGCTCCCCTCGCCGCCCCTGTTCCGTTCGCAGCACTTGCAAGGCACGGGCATGGGCACGGGCGAGCAGCAAGTGGGCCATGCGCTCGTTGCTCTGCGCCCCCACGCCGTGCTGCACGCAGTGCGCCAGCTCCACCAGCGATGCAACGTCGCCGCCCTGTGCTGCCCGCAGCAGCAGCTGCACTGCCGTGCGCGCAGGTGCCGGTGAGGGTACTTGTGACAATGGAGGTGATAGGCTCATGTTGTTAGAGCCACCAGGGTTGCCACAACTGGTGGTGGGACGGCAGCTACTGCTGCTGATGGTGCTGCTAGTGCTGCTGGCGCTGCTATCGTCGCCACTGCCCCGCATGCTGCTGCTGCTGCTGCGGCCACTGGATATGCTGCTCCCAGTGTCAATACCATCAGTAACACTGCTCCCAGCATCAATACTATCAGCAGAGCTGCTTCTCGTAGCTATGTTATCGGAGGTCTCAGTAGTGGTTTCACTGTTGGCCGTGCAGCTGATTCCAGCGGCATGCCAGTGGTCGACCTGGTTACCACTGGTAACCAGATCACGATGCCTGCTGCTGTCGTCACAGCCCCTCTTGGGCATCGCATTGCCACGGTTGAGCAGAAATATCGCCAGCGAATGCAGAGCTGCCACGTGTCCGTCCCTGGCTGCTCGGGGAAGGAGCGCCGAGCCTGTGCAAGGGTCGTTGAAGCAGTAGGAGTAGGTCTGGCCGGACACAGAGGGAAGACACAAGGGTGGTTTCAATTCATTCGGTGTAGAACGGTCAACACAAATGCAAGTGCATAGTTACACAAGAAGACAGAAAGGGGAAGTTCCAACGTGAGTAGTGAGAGAGAAAGCAGAGGGATAGAGAGATCGGAGACGAAGAGAGCAAGAAAAAGTGGGGGAAAAGGGTGGTGAAAGACGGGAAAGGGGGTGGATGGGAGAGAGGGGAAAGGAGGAGGGAGGTAAGGAAGATACAGGGAGGGACGGATAGAGAGAAGGACGGATAAAGATACGAAGAGAGGGAAGAGGCAGGGAGTGGATGTGGAACCCACCATGCCGAGAATGAACAAGGCCTCGCTGTTCCCAGCAGCAGTGCAGCTTCTCAGAAAGTGCAGGTTGGAGTCGCTCCAGCGCTCAAAGCGCGGGAGCAGCACGGAGGGAGGCAGGATGTGCAATATTGCTGGAGACATGCCAATGTCGCAAAACTGGGAGCACCTGTATCGGGAATGGAGCCAGATGTGTTAGATGACTGCAGACAACTAAGAAACCAAGAAAGCACAACTAGAGTGCAATGAATGAAATGTTACATTTACGAAATTTGGTGCGAGAATTACAGAACGTGCGAGCACGTTCGCTGCTGATTCCCGATGGCCAACTGATGGAACTGGTCGGAAATGGATCCGCGATCAAGTCTGTTCTGGCAGCATAAAGGCGATTTACGGGTACTGTGCATCTACACGAGGAATCGCTACACCGAGGGCGTGCTCTCGCTGTTGACGATTTATTAGGCGTGCCGTTCCGTGCCGCGCGTTTCGAGTAAGACTAACGCGCATCGTACAGTGCAAAAGTCGTTCACCGAAACGGCTGGTTCACGGCTAGTTCACTAAGACGGTTCCGCAGAGACTGCTCGTCGGACACTCTTTAAACATCCCTACTTCCGAAAGCCACGAGACATACTAACTCCTCATCACTATTTGCGGTCCGTGTCGCGCACACCCTCGTGCCTTCCATGCGTCCACTGCGTTTAAATCACGACGTACGTGACAAGGAGTGTATATGGGAGACTGCGACAACGCGCGACGGGAGCAACACGAGCGACAGAAGCGAAGTGAGACGTACACGAGGAGCATGTGGGCGTATTGGCGCGGCGAGCAGCCGGGCGACTGCAGGCAGCGGCGCAGCATCGCCTCCACCAGCTCCGCCTGCACGCGGGAGTCAAAAGGGTAACGACACGGGGGGGAGAGGGAGCGATGAGGGAACGACGACGCGGCAGCACCGCCTCCATCAGTTCCCCCTGCATGCGGGGGAGCACGACAGCGGCGCAGGGGAAGGGGAGATGAGGGAGGCGAGGGAGGGAGATGGTGGGAGAGAAACAGGCAGGAGGAGAACGAGCGGCGCAGCACCGCCTCCACCAGCTCTCCCTGTGCGCGGGATGCAAACGACAGCGGCGCGGGGGAAAGGATGGATGAGGGGGGGAGGGCGGAAGGCAGGCGAAGGACGAGCGGTGCAGCACCGCCTCCACCAGATCCGCCTGAGGAGGAGGGGAGAGGGGTGGGGGGAGGGGAAGAAAGCGACGGGGAAAGGAGGAGGGATGCGGGAAGGGTTGAAGAGGAGAAAAAGAGGAGAGGAGGGGAAGGAGGAGGGGAAAGCGGCAGCACAGTGACCATGACTTACGGGGAGATCAGTGAATCCCCGCCGTCGGTTTCGGCACTTGGAGTCGTGTACTGATGAGCAGTCCGCCATCTTCTCGTCCACCAGCGAGAATCCCGGCGCGGAGTGTTCAGAACAGTTCCCAGGGGCTCTGCTTGCGTCCAACAGTCCTCCGCGTGTCTTCCGAGTCGGCGACGCCTCTTGCGATGCCACGCTATTAGAAGTTTTATTAAATGGGGGGACTATGAGAGCACTAGGCTACAACGCATAGCACTGCCGTGCGAATAAATGTATTTCTGCGGAGAGCCAGACGCTCTGTGGCGTAGACAAGCAGGCTTAGTATGTATGTATGTCGCAGGCTCGCAGGCCCTAGTCAACGAAACGCGGTCCGTGTTAAATGTAGCCTACCGAAGGGGGAAACGCGTTATCCGCAAGGGAGAAGGTCCTGCCTCGGAAGGCCCAGCGACCAAGGGAGAGCGCTTGCCGTTGAAAGCTCGCGATAAGCTCTCTCCGAGAGGGTCGTATGAAGGTTCAGATTGGCACGCATACGTGAATATTCGAGGGGATCTTAGATTATGTATGACTATGCTCAAAGAAGGGCCCGCAAATTCAGGTGCAGTCCAGTCCAGCACGGATGGGGGAAGGCGTGACTCGGTCGGTGCTCAGAGAGAAAAGGACATGGCGCAAACCCGTCGCGATTCGAGACGACTTTCGGAGGAGTGAGGGAGGGTGGAAAAGGTCAGAAAAGCGCGAAAGCGTAAAAGCGCGAAAAACGCACAGCGCAATCATGGTGTCGGGACTCGGGAAGAAGAGATGTAGCGGGGTCGGAAAACGGAGGAGTTGGGGGGAAGGGGAGGGGACGAAACGAACACACGTGGGGAAAATGCAACGACGTCTCCCCGGAAATTGGGTGGGTGTTCTGTGGCGAGAGGAGCGGGATAACATGCAATTGGTCGAACGTACTCTACACGCTCTGACACACGAGCGAGAGAAGGAAGAGAGCGTTTGCATTGGCGTGCTTGTGCAGTGATGAGGGGGGGAAGGTGTCAAGACAGGGAGGGACACGGTCAGAAGCATAGCCCGAGCACGCTACCCTGATCGGACCGGCCGTGACTGAAGGGACGGGACGGGAGCTTTGGTCTGTCTGATGTGCTGTGCGTTGACGGGAAGTGTGAGAAGAGAGTGAATGGCAAATCATGGCCATTCGCGGCGCCAAGTTGATGATGACGGTGCTTTTGCGAGGTGAAGGGGCAAGGGAGTGACGAGGAGGACGACGGAGTGGAGGACGATGAGCTTGTTGCGGAACACGACTGGCGCACGCGCAGCACTGTAGTGAGGACAAGGACATCGCAAGCGGCTGTGCTGGGATTTCGGCGTGTGGCCGCGGTTCGGACTCAAAAAAACGACGCGACGTCAGCACATTTTTCTGTCGTGCTGGCTATGCAAATCGCAAACCAAGCTAACAACTCAGCAGGGACTAGCGTGTGTGAGAAAAAAGAGGAGGAGAAATAAGAAGGGATTGGAGGTGACAAATATGGCCCTCTAGCAATCAGCCAGCGGTTATGGTTGTTTCTGAGCACGCACACAACACTTCAAGTTGCTCCATTCCCGGTGGAGGTCCCGAGGAATGATCCAATCCAACCCGCCAAAGCTGCTCCGATACGTACAGCACAGGGCTGTAAGGCATAACGAAATGCTTGGTTCGACGGTCCACTGAACACTGTGCTGTCCATGTCCACATCACTCAGCGCGGTTCCTCTTGTCATTGTCAGTCTGCTGTGCGCTGAAGGTGATCACTGCCAGCGAACGAATATGCCATGATGCAGTGACGTGTAACTGAGGAAGAAGCATCTGTGGTTTCTTTGCTGCTGACGTACCTGCGTGACTGTGGGATGTTTCAGACGTGGTGGAGACAACAAAAAATATCAAAAGCCGTGAAGACTAGAAAAACAATCACAAACTTTGCCCAGTTTGAGTAATACACTGCTGTACAAGCCATTTCGTGGATCTTCAATAAACATCAAATTGCACTAGAGAAACTGCATTTCAAAAACCATCATCAACAGTCCTGCCGAAGGAACAGATGACCCAATCGGAGCCACGCCAGGTCGAGATGAGATGATGCCCACGCAGATAATTCTGCACCAATCAGAGCTAAACGTGCTACCAAAGACTATGGAAACTGGTAAACATGTCAGAAATAGGAAAGAAGAATTGAGAACAGAGAAGAGGGTTTGCACTAGCAGGCAGTTGAGTACATATAGGAAACCCTAATTTGGGCTATACTCGCTATAGAGTACCCCACTGCAGGCTAGACAAATATCACATTCTGACACACCCCCATAGTCAAAGTGGGGTATAATCAGCACAGCAAGCAGTCATAGAGCATGTTCACAAGTACAAGCAAAGCTAGAGGCATTCACAAAGGGCAAGTGAGGAGGAGGAGGCGGGACTGTGAGAGGAGAGGAGATAGGAGGCGACGGGTGAAGCCGCAGACACACTGGCAACAGGAGCGGCGCGCACGGTGGCTACCGGAGTAAGGGACCCGGACTACAGGAGTAACTGGCTCCGCGGCTAAGACGAGCGGCAGGAGCAACGGACCCACGGGCGACTGGCGCAGCAGGCTCGCTGGGCTACCGGAGCAAGGGCCCCGGACTACTGGCGCTGCTGACGTCACGACGGCTACCTCCGCTCAACCTCCCCCAACTGTCCCACCCCCCTTTCACACACCCCCTGCTGCACCCCTAGCTCCAATCCCGTGTCACCCCCCTAGCGCCACTCCCTCGGCTCCCACACATCCACCCCCCTCAGCGGCAGCTGCAGCAGTGGGAGACGGAGGAGGAGGAGGAGCAGGGGACGGCTCACACACCCGCCACCCCCATACCCCCAACGCAGGCGGTGTACGTGCGGCGCGGGGCAGAAACGCGGGCAGCAGCTGGGGCGGCATGTGAGAGGAAGCGGGGCGGCGCGCGGGCCCCCAGGGCGCCTCGACGAGCGACAGGAGGGGGGCGACGCGCGGGCCCCCAGGGCGCCGCGACGGGCGACGGGCAGGGCGGCGCGCAGGCCCCCGGGGCGCCGCGACGGGCGACGGGAGGGGGCGGCGCGCGGGCCCCCGGGGCGCCGCGACGGGCGACGGGAGGGGGGCGGCGCGCAGGCCCCCAGGGCGCCGCGACAGGCGACGGGCAAAGCGGCGCGCGGGCCCCCGGGGCGCCGCGACGGGCGACGGGAGGGGACAGCGCGCGGGCCCCCGGGGCGCCGCGACGGGCGACGGGAGGGGGCGACGCGTGGTCCCCCAGTTCGTCGCGACGGGCGACGGGCAGGGGGGTGCGCGGGCCCCCGGGGCGCCGCGACGGGCGACGGGGGGGGGGAAACCGCCGCGCGCGCCCGGGGCGCGCAGCGGGCAGGAAACCGCCACGCGCCCCGAGCGCGTGGCGGGCAGAAAACCGCCACGCGCTCGGAGCGCGTGGCGGGAAGAAAAAACGTCGCACGCCACGGGGCGCGCGACAGACAGTACAGCAGCGGAAGCAAGTGGGCCCACAGGCCAGGAGCGTAGTTGCTTTGATAGCATGTCAGAAATAGGAAAGAAGAATTGAGAACAGAGAAGAGGGTTTGCACTAGCAGGCAGTTGAGTACATATAGGAAACCCTAATTTGGGCTATACTCGCTATAGAGTACCCCACTGCAGGCTAGACAAATATCACATTCTGACAAAACATTAATTGGTGGAGAACAGAGCCGTTATCCACTCTCCTACACCACTCACCGCATAAAGCTTTTGTGGCTCGAAAAGGCGGCAACCCTGACGTGGAAACACGCTCTTGACGCTCATCTCTGACACAGGTTCATCAGCTGCAATCAATAGATCGTGACTGCAGAGCATCGACAAATGGTGTTTCGTTGTTGTCAATGTTACCAGTCTAGGTGTACTAAACTGAAGTCACCAGAGGCTGTAAACATTTTGCTGCTATCAGCTAAGTCTCATCCACACACATACTCAGGGCTAACTCTACTATACCAATCAGGGCTGACCAGGGCTGACGCTATCAGACTATTTAGTCTGATTAGTCTGAAGAATCAGACCTTGCACTTTGTGGAGAATGTATTTCCAGAGTAGTCCATTTTTCATCACTGAGTGCCTCAGACTTATTGTTTTGGGGCCCCTGATTCCGTGTAGTAGGCTTCAGACTTAGTCGTTTCTGGAGTCTGACTTTACGGAGTATACATTCTGTGGTCCCTGGAAGCGAGTTTATCGAGACGAAGATTCCTGGAAATTTCCTCCCGGTATATCCACCTCGGAGTTGGCAGCACGCGAGCAAAGTACACTTCACCAGCTGGGGATACCGAATACACCCTTTCTGCGACAAAGACACTCATGATATATTGTTGCGTGATTGGCGTAACCGTTGAGGTGTGAAATAAAAAAGAGCCAAAATACGTTTTTTGCGAATTTCTCAACGAATCGGTGAAATTTTTGGGGGGATATCACACCACAGGTAGAATAACGCACTTTTTGGTACTGAAATCGGGTGTTCTCCGCGCCCAACCATGTGAAAAAATACATCGTCACTGTTTCGTAAGTTGAAGGTTTCCGCTGCCGAACAGTGTAATGGAGGCACTTCCAGGCGCGCCACCAAGTAACAGCTCGTGCCTACTGCCAGCTCATCTATGCAGCAGCTCGGCCAGTTGGCACTTGCAAGCAAGGTAGCGCCACTTCGCACCACTTGCATTTGCCTCTTGCGTTTTGCAGCGATCCTTGTCGCCAACAAACCAAAAGAAAAAAAGAATAACGCGACTCTGATTTCATTTCCTTAACACTGAAAGCCCAGAGATGTGTTTTTTTTCGTCCCTGATTTTGTATAACAGGCTCAGACTTGCCATTTTGTGGCCGAAGTGCCAACAGAGTAGAAAAAAAAAATTGCGAGACAGAATCAGGGAGGCGTTTTTTGAAACGTCAGCCCTGGGGCTGACGCTATCAGACTAAATAGTCTGATTAGTCTGACCAAACAGAGTGTTGACGTTGTGGAAAATGTACTTCCAGTGTAATCATTTTTTCGTCACTGAGCCTCTCAGAGTTTGTTTTTATGGCCCCTGATATAGTGTAATAGGCCTCAGACTTAGTTGTTTCTGGAGTCTGACTCTACAGAGTATACGGTATGTGGTCCCTGAATGCGAGTATATCGAGACGAAGCTTCCTCGAAGTTTTCGTAACCCCCCCCTCCCCCCCCCCCCCCCTCCCTCCCACACGCGTAATCATTTCCCCACCCCCCTGGGTGTCTTATCATTCGCGTGGGCAGGAAACCACGTAATGGCAACAAAAACAGTTGGTGCGCTGTACACAGCAAAGCAGCCAGATGCGGCGCGCTGCGTACTGCATGGCAGCTTCGATGATGAGCGGTAGCCACGCGCACCGCGCCAACCTCACGAAATGTGATGGGTCGAACGCCATTGGTGGCATGGCACTGGCTGTCTGTGTGCTGGCATTGTGAGGTGAATTTGGCCTTCAATCCGTAGGCTGATTCATTCTGCAAACCCCTCCTCACTCCGTCAACCATTTTCGTGGCGCCGCGGCATTCGTTCTGGCCCCTCACCCGTATGCTTCATCTGATTATTTCCTTGTGTAAGGGGTCCCCCAGAATCATTGGCAGTTTTCGTTCTTGAACTTTTTGCTTCGCCATTCTCTCTCGCCATGGCGTCCTTACCTCCCGCGGACGACTCGCCCGACCCCGTCTTGGAAAAGCCTCCCGATCGTAGGGTTAGCGGCCTTGATTTCCTTCGACCTAGCGTAGCTCCTGTCACTCCTGAACCTCTAGGGACCTCTACTATTGTTAATACCGAGGATGTTCCGTTGGTTCCCAGTGGCGGCCATGAACCAGCAGCTTTCACACTCCCACCCGCCATAGCGTCCTCTAGCAAGGGCCCGCAACCGGCCCCCAATCCCGCGCCCGCTCCAGCGCCGTTCACTCTCCCACCCGCCATCTCGTCGACAAGCAAGGGTCCGCAACCTCCCCCCAATCCCGCGCCTTCTCCATCGCCGTTCACTGTCCCACCCGCCATCGCGTCGTCCAGTAAAGCCCCTCCCTCTGCAGTTGGTAGCAGCGACTGCAACGATGCCGCTCCCGCGTCTGAGGGACGTACAACCAAGAAGGCGCGCACGATCTTGCTCCGAGGAAAGTTCCACCAGAGCACGTTGACGTTCGGCGGTGTGCGCGTGCCACCACCAAGTGCCCCCGAAGAGTCCGAGTCCGAACCGGAGGAACCGGATGACAAACCTGTACGCGAGGACACCAAGTCTCCCGTTTCGTCGAAGGCCGAGTTAATGGGGCAGAGGTACATCGAGGCAAGTGTGAAGTATAACACTCAGTGGTTGCCCAAATTCCTGTGGCTTCTCTTGGTTCGCGCTAAAGATGGTGGTCCCAGTGTGAAGTGCAGCGTGCGTCTGAACTTCGGCAAGGAAACTACAAAGTATTCAGGTCCTGGCGACGGCGGGCGAGACATGCAGACGCAGACGATGCGCATCCACGAGCACACGACGGTTCACAAGGAGGCGATGCAGCGACAGGCGGAAATCGCAGAGGCGATTTCGAATGGCCAGACAAAGATCGACCGCTACATCAACGCAGATGTGGAGGGTCGGCGGGCGGTGCGGCTGATGAGGTCGGTGCAGTTTCTGTGCCAGGAGGACGCGCCCATCAGCATGTTCCCGTCGCTGAGCAGGACACCCCCGACATCCCGTTGCGAGCCTACGGGGTGTACCTTACGAGGTATATCTAGTATGTTGTAAACTCACCGACCGTGATCAAGTTCGCTTTGACGACTGATTTATTTGTTTTTAAATACCCCTTGCAGATACGGGTTCCAGCAGATGGTGCACTGCCTCAGCACCTGGTTGACTCGGGAGCAGATGCAGCACATCTCCTCTTCACCCTTCCTCGGCTTGAGCACAGACGAGAGCACCGACCGTACTCGCGGGAAGCATATGATTGTGTACATTACTTTCTTGCGCAATCGTCGTGTCGTCACCGAGTATCTCACCCTGCTTACTGTTGAGAGATGTGATGCAGCTTCTCTCTTATTGGTGCTGCTGAACCACTTGCACACTGCCAACATTGACATCAACCGAGTGGTGGGCATCAGCACGGACGGCGCGTCGGTGATGATTGGTTGCGACAACGGGCTCGTGACTCGGCTGAGGGAACATGTGCCGCATCTTGTGTCAACTCACTGCATCGCACACAGGTAAAACAAACCATCAACTTTCTTGGTGTAACGAGTCGTAAACAAAATAAGACGGTTGCTAACTACTTGTTATGTCTCGAAATGCATGGAGGCGTTGGCGGTGAAGGACGCGGCCACGGCTAATTCGGACCTCGCCATGGTGGACACCGTGGTGCGCACTCTTGCGGAACGCCTTGGCGCCTCAAGCCACTGGAGCCAGCGGTTCAAGTACCTGCAGTGCATCATATACAACACGAACCTGGAGGTTCTGGGAATCCACAGCGTGCGCTGGCTGTCCCGGGGCGACGCGGTGAAGCGACTGTGCAAGGTGCTTGGCGCGGCGATTGTTCTCTTCCACGAGAAGGAGCACGACTTGTACGAGACGGTGACGTCGTACAAGTTCCAGTTCTGCCTCTTCTTCCTCGCTAACATCCTCGGCGACCTGAACGATCTCAACCGTTCATTTCAGAAGCGTCAGGTGAGCCAGGTTGGCCATCTTTTTTTTTAATCCTGTTCTAACCTACTTGCACTCTTGTGCGCAGGTCGATGTTACCGAGGTGTCAAAGACCGTCGAGTCGGTCACTGGCGACCTCAAGCACAGGTACCTTGACACCAAGGCGGAATTCGGTGGAGCCGGCAACGGGTGGCTCCCGAAATTTCTGAAGTTGTATGGGAAGAAGTCGGGGCAGACGGGCCGAGTGCGTGGCGCGGATTCGGAAGGCCGGCCTGTTAACCACTCGTACATCCTGCACGAGATGAAGCTGAAGGACCACGTCTACAAGAGCGGCTACAAGGCCTGCGTCAAGCTCTGTCGCAATTTCGCGAAGGACGTCGTCGATCGTCTTCTGTTTCGCCTGGACGACCTGCGGGGGATGGGTCCGACGAAGCTGTTTCGCGCGTCGAAGTGGCCGAAGAGCAAGAACGCCTGGGATCGCAAGTGCCAGGATTGGTTGGTTGGCTGCAGCGCCCTGTTCAAGCACAAGCTCCCGGGGTTTGATCTCAAGAAAGCCTCGCAAGAGCTGTCAACCTGGTGCCCAATCATGGAGTCTCACCACGAGGAAGAGTCCTTCGCACAGGGACTGGCTAACTTCCTGGGGAGCGGCGACGCCCAGAGGTGCGTCTCTCTGTTCTGTGTGGTTTATATGATTGACTTGCTCCTTACTAAACCAATTATGTTGCTCGACGTGCTTGGCAGGCGCTGGCCCAACTTGTTGCTGCTGTGGCAGGCGCTGGTAGTCCTGCCACTATCCACTGTGGAGTGCGAGCGGGGATTCTCGCGCCAGAACGTGATCAAGTCGTGGGTCCGTGGGTCTCTGTGCAACGCGCGGCTGGCGGAGCTGATGCAGATCTCTCTGCTGCAGTACGAGATGGACTGGCCTGGGGTGCTGGACACCTAGAAGAGCCTCAAGAAGAGGCGACCGGCGCAGAGCGTCGTTTTCCCTGCTGACGATCGTAAGCGCAAGGAGAAGGAACCGGAGGAGGAAGATGAGGGACCTAGCGAGCCGGCTGGCGAGGATGAGTTCGCGGACTCAGACGAAGATGGTGACGACCGGGAGATGGATCAGGAGATTGAGCAGTCGCCGCCCCGGGATTTCTCAGAAGAAGAAGACAACCCCTTCCTGTCCGATGGCGAGGAGGAGGGGGAGGAGATGTACCACATAGATAAGCCGGCACACTAGGATTCGTTGAGCTGTATGGGTCGTGGTTGTGTAATGAAGTGCTGTGTAGGTGTGTAATGAAGTGCTGAGGAATATAAAAAAAAATGTTACAAATAGTACCCTGATAATAGATCGCCAACCCTGTGAGCACAGACTGTGACAACCCTGGAGACTGAGCAGTCAGAGTGGCTAAAATCTGGCCAAAGTACCATCAGAGTAAAACGATTTTTTTTTTAGAGTACTCAGGGAGGCCGAATTTGAAACGTCAGCCCTGATACAAAAAAGTCTGAAAGTTTAGACTGTTTCAGCCAAGCATGATTATTTGTCGTTCATGCAACAATTTTTTTAACCATGATTTATTTACTTGGCTGTATTATAGTTCCGACTTTTCCTACATTGTATTTGCTGAAGTGAAGTAAAACCAGTAGTTCGGTTGAGTTAGTACAGTATTAACGTAGTGTTCTCTTAAGTGAATATGATTGTAGCATGTGTTAAGAATGAACTTAAAGAGTGTGCAATGCAAAGTAAATGCATATTGAGACTGTAATTTATGGAATGCAGATACAATGAAAACAGTTAATATGAAAAGACCCAACCTACATAAAATCTAGTGACCGATTTTCAGGCCATCATACCAAATTCGTCTGACAACGGGAGCCCTGATGGGAGGTGAGGAGAAAAGTGGGATGGGTAAGATGGGCCGAAGATATCGTGCAGAAGTCAATGGAGGGAATGGGGGGAGAATGGCAACATCCACAAGGCAGGGAGGGAACCCAGGAGAGGTATGCAAGAGGACGGAGTGAGCAAGAGGACAGAGTGAGCAAGAGGACGGAGTGAGCAAAGGACCGAGTGAGCAAAGGACCGAGTGAGCAAAGGACCGAGTGAGCAAAGGACCGAGTGAGCAAAGGACCGAGTTGAGCAAAGGACAGAGTGTGCAAGGTGTGTGTGTGTGTGTGAGCAAGGTGTGTGAGTGAGCTACAGCGTGGGTGAGAATAGTAAATGTGTGCTCAAGACATAAGCCCTGTGAAGCATGCGAATGAGCGCGCCGTGATTGAGCAAGGTGTGTAAGCCAGTAATGGAGCTAGTGAGTTTGCCAAGGTCACGAGTGGGAGTGTCATCCATTGGGAGTAAAGTGGGTATATGAAGGTTGAGGGATGGGTGTAACGGTGGTGGGTATGGTGCAATGGAGAAAGGAAAGATGGCTGACATGTGTCTGGTGAGACCGGGGCAGAGAAGCACAATGAAGGAAGGGAAGGGAGATGATAGAGACAGACCGATGCAGCGTCAAAGGGCACCTGAGTGAAGGACGTGCACGTAGTGGACTGTAGACATCAATGTGACAACCACAGCATTCACTGTTGCTATCCCCCCTGCAGGCGCCCACTGCTGCTGTGTCAGAGGGTGTCGGAGAGGGAGGGAGTGCGAAGCACCAGATCCTGGAAGGCTGCTGCTGCCGCCCACAGACACTTTTATTTGTCCATGAGGGGCACCGGGCGTGGGTCAAGGGGCATGGGGTATGGGTCATGGGTCATGGGGCATGGCCCATGTGGTATGATATGGGGCATGGGGTATGGGTCATGGGGCTTGCGGTATGGGGTATGGGGCATGGGGTATGGGGCACCGGGCGTGGGTCAAGGGGCATGGGGTATGGGTCATGGGTCATGGGGCACGGGGCATGTGGTATGGGGCTTGGGGGATGGGGTATGGAGTATGGGTCATGGGGCATGGGCATGAGGGATGGGGAACAGGGCAACAGAGGGTCGGACAAGAACACAAAGGATGAACGGCAGAGGGGGGAACGGGGCAGACCAGGGGGGGAAGGAAGGGCGGTCAAAGAGAAACGGAGGGAAGGACATGGGGGAAAGGGAGGGAGGGACAAGAAGGGAAACGGAGGGAAGGACATGAGGGAAAGGGAGTTAGGGACAAGGGGCGACACGGATGGAAGGACATGGGGGAAAGGGAGGGAGGGACAATGGGAGAAACGGAGGGAAGGACATGGGGAAAAGGGAGGGAGGGACTTGGGGGGAAACGGAGGGAAGGACCGTTGGGAAAGGGAGGGAGGGACAAGTGGGGAGAAGGATGGAAGGACACGATGAAAGGGAGAGAGGAACACGGAGGGTAAACGGAGGGAAGGACAGGGGGAAAGGGACGGAAGGACAAGGGCCAAGACGGAGGGAAGGACAGGGGGAAAGGGACGGAAGGACAAGGGCCAAGACGGGGGGAAGGACAGGGGGAAAGGGACGGAAGGACAAGGGCCAAGACGGAGGGAAGGACAGGGGGAAAGGGACGGAAGGACAAGGGCCAAGACGGAGGGAAGGACAGGGGGAAAGGGACGGAAGGACAAGGGCCATGACGGAGGGAAGGACAGGGGGAAAGGGACGGAAGGACAAGGGCCAAGACGGAGGGAAGGACAGGGGGAAAGGGACGGAAGGACAAGGGCCAAGACGGAGGGAAGGACAGGGGGAAAGGGACGGAAGGACAAGGGCCAAGACGGAGGGAAGGACAGGGGGGTAAGGGAGGTAGGAACACGGAGGGTAAACGGAGGGAAGGACAGGGGGGTAAGGGAGGTAGGAACAAGGGGGTAAACGGAGGGAAGGACACGGGGGAAAGGGAGCGAAGGACAAGGAGGGATACGGAGGGAAAGACACGGGGATAGGGAGAGAGGAACAAGGGGGGAAACGGATGGAAGGACAAGGGGAAAGGGAGGGAAAAACAAGGAGGAAAACGGAGGGAAGGACACGGGGAAAAGGAGGGAGGTGAAAGGGCGAATCGTGGGGAAATGGGGAGGGCGGAAACGGAGGAATGCCTAGGGAGGGAGAGATGGAAAACGGATGGATCGGAGTAGAATAGAGGGGCGGGAGAGGGGTAAAAGGAGGAGAATGGAGGGAGGGAAGGGATGGAAGGGAGGTTGCGAGGGAGCCTGGCAGGGGAATTGTGGGCGACGGTCTTGGGAAGCCATGCGACGAGCACGATCAAGGCTGGCGACGGGAAGGGAAAGCGGCGTCGCGAGGGGATGGGAAAGCGAGGGTGAAGGGAAGGGAAAACGGCGAGCGACGGGATGGGAAAGCGAGGGTGACACTCAGAGAAAGCGTGGGCGACGGGAGGGGGAAGGGAGGGTCTTGCCAAAGGCGACGGGAGGGGAGGCGAGCGCAAGGAGCGGGGGAAGTGAGGGCAGGGACTGGGAGGGCGTGAAGCGACAAGTGCAACGTGCACTGCGTCGCCATGGCTTCAGCTGCGTCGCCATGGCTTCAGTCGCTCTGCGTCGCCATGGCTTCAGCTGCGTCGTCGACGCGTAGCGGTACTAGTAGGTGTGGCTCTGAGGAGAAGGGGTTCATACCGGGGGGGGACGAGCGGATATATTCTCGCCCGACCTACTTGCGAGTGGCAGCAGCAGCAGCAGCAAGCGCAGGTCGCGCAGGCGCCATTGAGAGATGCTGGCAGCCTTCGCAGCAGACGTCGCTCCCACGCTAGCGCCTAACCGTTTCCCTCAGTGCACTGAGCCGTGTGCGCTACCATCCCAAAAATGTTTGGTTTCAGCACCTGCGTTGAAGATGCCTCTGCGCAGCATTTCCGCAGGTTCAAAAAGGCCTACGTCTTGGCTCCTGAAGGAGCTACTGAACGTAGGTCGAGTTGTGCTTTCCTTTCCGAACCTCAACCTCCGTCCTCGTTGCTTTGCCGTGTGTTTCAAAGTTTCGCTTGCGACATCATTGGCCCTGTTGATTGGTTGACGAAAGAATTTTAGTGTGTTTCTATTTGATTTGCAGATCGAGGCGAAATAGTAGGCGAATTCTTCTGGTGATCATCGGTCGCTGATTGATGAATGCATCTAGGCGAAACTTTTCGTTACCTGACAGTTAGTGTGGTGTCGATAGATTACTGGGTGCGAGCAAATGTGTGTCAGCGAATTTCGACACATGGCAGGGTTTCCAAATTTTTTGGATGCCACAGTGGCGCTTTCTCCGCTTGACACCATGGCCCTTGCTTATTTTTGCCTGAGATTTATTGGTCACGAACATCTGACGTGCTATAATTTCTCGCTACCTGCTGTCGCAATTGTATTGGTTGGAATCAGAACTCGTTACAAGTGTTCCGATATCAAATTCCACACGTGTGATTCTCTTTAAATTGTTTCCGCGATTAGGGGATTTATACGATTACTGTAACAATTACGTATAATCACATTCTCAGTATATCATTAGTGTTAATGCAATATATATATATATCACTATATCCGAATATACAATAAATATTTATTATTATTAATTAGCACGATACCAAATAGCAATTACCACTATAATCAGACAATGCAATACCTAGCATTCTACCACCTAGACACTACACATCAAGCAGGATACTTGCTCTATATTACTTGTACTACGGATTCAGGTCCTCTATGCCATCGCAACTAATGAAAAGACGGTCAGTACCCACGTGGAATTTCCATGCCTTCTTATCGGCCTCCCACCACGGCCCTGTCGTATGGCGTGTCGGGCTCTGGATTGCGTCACGCACGACGTTGCGAAAATTTGAGGCATACTCAGCAAATGCCCCGCGAAGGTCCACTCTGCTCTGCTTCAAGTCTTTACCAGTTATAATCTTGTGTTCCACCTGCATATTCACAAGATCAACTAGGAAATTAAGCAAAATATTAGAAATTACTGAACCTAACAACAACTCAGATTTCACCTACCCCAAGAAGCCAAAATGCGATGTGCTTCAAGCGCAGCACCACCGTCAAATGCCCCTCCCTCTCGTAGGACAGGAAAATGGCGGTTGTGAAGATGTCATGCGACCGTAACACACCACGATTCCCCCTGTGCCATGTCAAGAGGGTCCACGACCATTCATCTGTAACGCAATGGAATTACGATGGTGGGGAAGAGCAACTTTTCTTACGGACTTGCAGGTAAGAGGGGAGAGACAGAGGGGAAGGGAAGGTGGGGCAGGGGAGGCTGTGCTGGATGAGGCATAGTGATAGGGATAGAGTATAGGGGAGGACCTCGCCTGTCACACCGACGCGGCCCGACGTAGGCTGTGGTGGTAGGCATGCAAGGAGAGATGCAGAGGGGGAGAAGGCGGGGGAGAGAAGGGGGGGAGTCAATGCGATCCAGTGAGATGCGCGCAGGCCCCGCCTCTCACACCGACGCGGCCCGTGCCTATGCCGAGGTGGTAGGCACGCAAGGAGAGATGCAGAGGGAGAGAAGGCGGGGGACAGAGAGGGGGAGTCAATGCGAGGCAATTAGATGCGCGCAGGCCAGCACAATAAGGCCCCGCCTCTCACACCGACGCGCCCCGTACCTATGCGGAGGTGGTAGGCATGCAAGGAGAGATGCAGAGGGAGAGAAGGCGGGGGACAGAGAGGGGGAGTCAATGCGAGGCTGTGAGATGCGCGCAGGCCAGCACGAGAAGGCCCCGCCTCTCACTTCGACGCGGCCGGTGCGTATGCTGAGGTGGTAGGCACGCAAGGAGAGATGCAGAGGGAGAGAAGGCGGGGGACAGAGAGGGGGAGTCAATGCGAGGCAGTGAGATGCGCGCAGGCCAGCACGAGAAGGCCCCGCCTCTCACTCCGACGCGGCCTGTGCCTATGCTGAGGTGGGAGGCACGCAAGGAGAGATGCAGAGGGAGAGAAGGCGGGGGACAGAGAGGGGGAGTCAATGCGAGGCAATTAGATGCGCGCAGGCCAGCACAATAAGGCCCCGCCTCTCACACCGACGCGCCCCGTACCTATGCTGAGGTGGTAGGCATGCAAGGAGAGATGCAGAGGGAGAGAAGGCGGGGGACAGAGAGGGGGAGTCAATGCGAGGCAATGAGATGCGCGCAGGCCAGCACGAGAAGGCCCCGCCTCTCACTCCGACGCGGCCTGTGCCTATGCTGAGGTGGGAGGCACGCAAGGAAAGATGCAGAGGGAGAAAAGGCGGGGGACAGAGAGGGGGAGTCAATGCGAGGCAGTGAGATGCGCGCAGGCCAGCACGAGAAGGCCCCGCCTCTCACTCCGACGCGGCCTGTGCCTATGCTGAGGTGGGAGGCACGCAAGGAGAGATGCAGAGGGAGAGAAGGCGGGGGACAGAGAGGGGGAGTCAATGCGAGGCAGTGAGATGCGCGCAGGCCAGCACGAGAAGGCCCCGCCTCTCACTCCGACGCGGCCTGTGCCTATGCTGAGGTGGGAGGCACGCAAGGAGAGATGCAGAGGGAGAGAAGGCGGGGGACAGAGAGGGGGAGTCAATGCGAGGCAGTGAGATGCGCGCAGGCCAGCACGAGAAGGCCCCGCCTCTCACACCGACGCGGCCTGTGCCTATGCTGAGGTGGTAGGCAGGCAAGGAGAGATGCAGAGGGAGAGAAGGCGGGGGACTGAGAGGGGGAGTCAATGCGAGGCAGTGAGATGCGCGCAGGCCAGCACGAGAAGGCCCCGCCTCTCACTCCGACGCGGCCTGTACCTATGCTGAGGTGGGAGGCACGCAAGGAGAGATGCAGAGGGAGAGAAGGCGGGGGACAGAGAGGGGGAGTCAATGCGAGGCAGTGAGATGCGCGCAGGCCAGCACGAGAAGGCCCCGCCTCTCACTCCGACGCGGCCTGTGCCTATGCTGAGGTGGTAGGCACGCAAGGAGAGATGCAGAGGGAGAGAAGGCGGGAGACAGAGAGGGGGAGTCAATGCGAGGCAATGAGATGCGCGCAGGCCAGCACGAGAAGGCCCCGCCTCTCACTCCGACGCGGCCTGTGCCTATGCTGAGGTGGGAGGCACGCAAGGAGAGATGCAGAGGGAGAGAAGGCGGGGGACAGAGAGGGGGAGTCAATGCGAGGCAGTGAGATGCGCGCAGGCCAGCACGAGAAGGCCCCGCCTCTCACTCCGACGCGGCCTGTGCCTATGCTGAGGTGGGAGGCACGCAAGGAGAGATGCAGAGGGAGAGAAGGCGGGGGACAGAGAGGGGGAGTCAATGCGAGGCAGTGAGATGCGCGCAGGCCAGCACGAGAAGGCCCCGCCTCTCACTCCGACGCGGCCTGTGCCTATGCTGAGGTGGGAGGCACGCAAGGAGAGATGCAGAGGGAGAGAAGGCGGGGGACAGAGAGGGGGAGTCAATGCGAGGCAGTGAGATGCGCGCAGGCCAGCACGAGAAGGCCCCGCCTCTCACTCCGACGCGGCCTGTGCCTATGCTGAGGTGGGAGGCACGCAAGGAGAGATGCAGAGGGAGAGAAGGCGGGGGACAGAGAGGGGGAGTCAATGCGAGGCAGTGAGATGCGCGCAGGCCAGCACGAGAAGGCCCCGCCTCTCACTCCGACGCGGCCTGTGCCTATGCTGAGGTGGGAGGCACGCAAGGAGAGATGCAGAGGGAGAGAAGGCGGGGGACAGAGAGGGGGAGTCAATGCGATGCAGTGAGATGCGCGCAGGCCAGCACGAGAAGGCCCCGCCTCTCACTCCGACGCGGCCTGTGCCTATGCTGAGGTGGGAGGCACGCAAGGAAAGATGCAGAGGGAGAGAAGGCGGGGGACAGAGAGGGGGAGTCAATGCGAGGCAGTGAGATGCGCGCAGGCCAGCACGAGAAGGCCCCGCCTCTCACTCCGACGCGGCCTGTGCCTATGCTGAGGTGGGAGGCACGCAAGGAGAGATGCAGAGGGAGAGAAGGCGGGGGACAGAGAGGGGGGGTCAATGCGAGGCAGTGAGATGCGCGCAGGCCAGCACGAGAAGGCCCCGCCTCTCACTCCGACGAGGCCTGTGCCTATGCTGAGGTGGTAGGCACGCAAGGAGAGATGCAGAGGGAGAGAAGGCGGGGGACAGAGAGGGGGGGTCAATGCGAGGCAGTGAGATGCGCGCAGGCCAGCACGAGAAGGCCCCGCCTCTCACTCCGACGCGGCCTGTGCCTATGCTGAGGTGGTAGGCACGCAAGGAGAGATGCAGAGGGAGAGAAGGCGGGGGACAGAGAGGGGGGGTCAATGCGAGGCAGTGAGATGCGCGCAGGCCAGCACGAGAAGGCCCCGCCTCTCACTCCGACGCGGCCTGTGCCTATGCTGAGGTGGTAGGCACGCAAGGAGAGATGCAGAGGGAGAGAAGGCGGGGGACAGAGAGGGGGAGTCAATGCGAGGCAGTGAGATGCGCGCAGGCCAGCACGAGAAGGCCCCGCCTCTCACTCCGACGCGGCCTGTGCCTATGCTGAGGTGGTAGGCACGCAAGGAGAGATGCAGAGGGAGAGAAGGCGGGGGACAGAGAGGGGGAGTCAATGCGAGGCAGTGAGATGCGCGCAGGCCAGCACGAGAAGGCCCCGCCTCTCACTCCGACGCGGCCTGTGCCTATGCTGAGGTGGGAGGCACGCAAGGAGAGATGCAGAGGGAGAGAAGGCGGGGGACAGAGAGGGGGAGTCAATGCGATGCAGTGAGATGCGCGCAGGCCAGCACGAGAAGGCCCCGCCTCTCACTCCGACGCGGCCTGTGCCTATGCTGAGGTGGGAGGCACGCAAGGAAAGATGCAGAGGGAGAGAAGGCGGGGGACAGAGAGGGGGAGTCAATGCGAGGCAGTGAGATGCGCGCAGGCCAGCACGAGAAGGCCCCGCCTCTCACTCCGACGCGGCCTGTGCCTATGCTGAGGTGGGAGGCACGCAAGGAGTGATGCAGAGGGAGAGAAGGCGGGGGACAGAGAGGGGGGGTCAATGCGAGGCAGTGAGATGCGCGCAGGCCAGCACGAGAAGGCCCCGCCTCTCACTCCGACGCGGCCTGTGCCTATGCTGAGGTGGGAGGCACGCAAGGAGAGATGCAGAGGGAGAGAAGGCGGGGGACAGAGAGGGGGAGTCAATGCGAGGCAGTGAGATGCGCGCAGGCCAGCACGAGAAGGCCCCGCCTCTCACTCCGACGCGGCCTGTGCCTATGCTGAGGTGGGAGGCACGCAAGGAGAGATGCAGAGGGAGAGAAGGCGGGGGACAGAGAGGGGGAGTCAATGCGAGGCAGTGAGATGCGCGCAGGCCAGCACGAGAAGGCCCCGCCTCTCACTCCGACGCGGCCTGTGCCTATGCTGAGGTGGGAGGCACGCAAGGAGAGATGCAGAGGGAGAGAAGGCGGGGGACAGAGAGGGGGAGTCAATGCGAGGCAGTGAGATGCGCGCAGGCCAGCACGAGAAGGCCCCGCCTCTCACTCCGACGCGGCCTGTGCCTATGCTGAGGTGGGAGGCACGCAAGGAGAGATGCAGAGGGAGAGAAGGCGGGGGACAGAGAGGGGGAGTCAATGCGATGCAGTGAGATGCGCGCAGGCCAGCACGAGAAGGCCCCGCCTCTCACTCCGACGCGGCCTGTGCCTATGCTGAGGTGGGAGGCACGCAAGGAAAGATGCAGAGGGAGAGAAGGCGGGGGACAGAGAGGGGGAGTCAATGCGAGGCAGTGAGATGCGCGCAGGCCAGCACGAGAAGGCCCCGCCTCTCACTCCGACGCGGCCTGTGCCTATGCTGAGGTGGGAGGCACGCAAGGAGAGATGCAGAGGGAGAGAAGGCGGGGGACAGAGAGGGGGGGTCAATGCGAGGCAGTGAGATGCGCGCAGGCCAGCACGAGAAGGCCCCGCCTCTCACTCCGACGCGGCCTGTGCCTATGCTGAGGTGGTAGGCACGCAAGGAGAGATGCAGAGGGAGAGAAGGCGGGGGACAGAGAGGGGGGGTCAATGCGAGGCAGTGAGATGCGCGCAGGCCAGCACGAGAAGGCCCCGCCTCTCACTCCGACGCGGCCTGTGCCTATGCTGAGGTGGTAGGCACGCAAGGAGAGATGCAGAGAGAGAGAAGGCGGGGGACAGAGAGGGGGGGTCAATGCGAGGCAGTGAGATGCGCGCAGGCCAGCACGAGAAGGCCCCGCCTCTCACTCCGACGCGGCCTGTGCCTATGCTGAGGTGGTAGGCACGCAAGGAGAGATGCAGAGGGAGAGAAGGCGGGGGACAGAGAGGGGGAGTCAATGCGAGGCAGTGAGATGCGCGCAGGCCAGCACGAGAAGGCCCCGCCTCTCACTCCGACGCGGCCTGTGCCTATGCTGAGGTGGTAGGCACGCAAGGAGAGATGCAGAGGGAGAGAAGGCGGGGGACAGAGAGGGGGAGTCAATGCGAGGCAGTGAGATGCGCGCAGGCCAGCACGAGAAGGCCCCGCCTCTCACTCCGACGCGGCCTGTGCCTATGCTGAGGTGGTAGGCACGCAAGGAGAGATGCAGAGGGAGAGAAGGCGGGGGACAGAGAGGGGGAGTCAATGCGATGCAGTGAGATGCGCGCAGGCCAGCACGAGAAGGCCCCGCCTCTCACTCCGACGCGGCCTGTGCCTATGCTGAGGTGGGAGGCACGCAAGGAAAGATGCAGAGGGAGAGAAGGCGGGGGACAGAGAGGGGGAGTCAATGCGAGGCAGTGAGATGCGCGCAGGCCAGCACGAGAAGGCCCCGCCTCTCACTCCGACGCGGCCTGTGCCTATGCTGAGGTGGGAGGCACGCAAGGAGAGATGCAGAGGGAGAGAAGGCGGGGGACAGAGAGGGGGGGTCAATGCGAGGCAGTGAGATGCGCGCAGGCCAGCACGAGAAGGCCCCGCCTCTCACTCCGACGCGGCCTGTGCCTATGCTGAGGTGGGAGGCACGCAAGGAGAGATGCAGAGGGAGAGAAGGCGGGGGACAGAGAGGGGGAGTCAATGCGAGGCAGTGAGATGCGCGCAGGCCAGCACGAGAAGGCCCCGCCTCTCACTCCGACGCGGCCTGTGCCTATGCTGAGGTGGGAGGCACGCAAGGAGAGATGCAGAGGGAGAGAAGGCGGGGGACAGAGAGGGGGAGTCAATGCGAGGCAGTGAGATGCGCGCAGGCCAGCACGAGAAGGCCCCGCCTCTCACTCCGACGCGGCCTGTGCCTATGCTGAGGTGGGAGGCACGCAAGGAGAGATGCAGAGGGAGAGAAGGCGGGGGACAGAGAGGGGGAGTCAATGCGAGGCAGTGAGATGCGCGCAGGCCAGCACGAGAAGGCCCCGCCTCTCACTCCGACGCGGCCTGTGCCTATGCTGAGGTGGGAGGCACGCAAGGAGAGATGCAGAGGGAGAGAAGGCGGGGGACAGAGAGGGGGAGTCAATGCGATGCAGTGAGATGCGCGCAGGCCAGCACGAGAAGGCCCCGCCTCTCACTCCGACGCGGCCTGTGCCTATGCTGAGGTGGGAGGCACGCAAGGAAAGATGCAGAGGGAGAGAAGGCGGGGGACAGAGAGGGGGAGTCAATGCGAGGCAGTGAGATGCGCGCAGGCCAGCACGAGAAGGCCCCGCCTCTCACTCCGACGCGGCCTGTGCCTATGCTGAGGTGGTAGGCACGCAAGGAGAGATGCAGAGGGAGAGAAGGCGGGGGACAGAGAGGGGGAGTCAATGCGAGGCAGTGAGATGCGCGCAGGCCAGCACGAGAAGGCCCCGCCTCTCACTCCGACGCGGCCTGTGCCTATGCTGAGGTGGTAGGCACGCAAGGAGAGATTCAGAGGGAGAGAAGGCGGGGGACAGGGAGGGGGAGTCAATGCGAGGCAGTGAGATGCGCGCAGGCCAGCACGAGAAGGCCCCGCCTCTCACTCCGACGCGGCCTGTGCCTATGCTGAGGTGGTAGGCACGCAAGGAGAGATGCAGAGGGAGAGAAGGCGGGGGACAGAGAGGGGGAGTCAATGCGAGGCAGTGAGATGCGCGCAGGCCAGCACGAGAAGGCCCCGCCTCTCACTCCGACGCGGCCTGTGCCTATGCTGAGGTGGTAGGCACGCAAGGAGAGATGCAGAGGGAGAGAAGGTGGGGGACAGAGAGGGGGAGTCAATGCGAGGCAATGAGATGCGCGCAGGCCAGCACGAGAAGGCCCCGCCTCTCACTCCGACGCGGCCTGTGCCTATGCTGAGGTGGGAGGCACGCAAGGAGAGATGCAGAGGGAGAGAAGGCGGGGGACAGAGAGGGGGAGTCAATGCGAGGCAGTGAGATGCGCGCAGGCCAGCACGAGAAGGCCCCGCCTCTCACTCCGACGCGGCCTGTGCCTATGCTGAGGTGGGAGGCACGCAAGGAGAGATGCAGAGGGAGAGAAGGCGGGGGACAGAGAGGGGGAGTCAATGCGAGGCAGTGAGATGCGCGCAGGCCAGCACGAGAAGGCCCCGCCTCTCACTCCGACGCGGCCTGTGCCTATGCTGAGGTGGGAGGCACGCAAGGAGAGATGCAGAGGGAGAGAAGGCGGGGGACAGAGAGGGGGGGTCAATGCGAGGCAGTGAGATGCGCGCAGGCCAGCACGAGAAGGCCCCGCCTCTCACTCCGACGCGGCCTGTGCCTATGCTGAGGTGGGAGGCACGCAAGGAGAGATGCAGAGGGAGAGAAGGCGGGGGACAGAGAGGGGGAGTCAATGCGAGGCAGTGAGATGCGCGCAGGCCAGCACGAGAAGGCCCCGCCTCTCACTCCGACGCGGCCTGTGCCTATGCTGAGGTGGGAGGCACGCAAGGAGAGATGCAGAGGGAGAGAAGGCGGGGGACAGAGAGGGGGAGTCAATGCGAGGCAGTGAGATGCGCGCAGGCCAGCACGAGAAGGCCCCGCCTCTCACTCCGACGCGGCCTGTGCCTATGCTGAGGTGGGAGGCACGCAAGGAGAGATGCAGAGGGAGAGAAGGCGGGGGACAGAGAGGGGGAGTCAATGCGAGGCAGTGAGATGCGCGCAGGCCAGCACGAGAAGGCCCCGCCTCTCACTCCGACGCGGCCTGTGCCTATGCTGAGGTGGGAGGCACGCAAGGAGAGATGCAGAGGGAGAGAAGGCGGGGGACAGAGAGGGGGAGTCAATGCGATGCAGTGAGATGCGCGCAGGCCAGCACGAGAAGGCCCCGCCTCTCACTCCGACGCGGCCTGTGCCTATGCTGAGGTGGGAGGCACGCAAGGAAAGATGCAGAGGGAGAGAAGGCGGGGGACAGAGAGGGGGAGTCAATGCGAGGCAGTGAGATGCGCGCAGGCCAGCACGAGAAGGCCCCGCCTCTCACTCCGACGCGGCCTGTGCCTATGCTGAGGTGGTAGGCACGCAAGGAGAGATGCAGAGGGAGAGAAGGCGGGGGACAGAGAGGGGGAGTCAATGCGAGGCAGTGAGATGCGCGCAGGCCAGCACGAGAAGGCCCCGCCTCTCACTCCGACGCGGCCTGTGCCTATGCTGAGGTGGTAGGCACGCAAGGAGAGATTCAGAGGGAGAGAAGGCGGGGGACAGGGAGGGGGAGTCAATGCGAGGCAGTGAGATGCGCGCAGGCCAGCACGAGAAGGCCCCGCCTCTCACTCCGACGCGGCCTGTGCCTATGCTGAGGTGGTAGGCACGCAAGGAGAGATGCAGAGGGAGAGAAGGCGGGGGACAGAGAGGGGGAGTCAATGCGAGGCAGTGAGATGCGCGCAGGCCAGCACGAGAAGGCCCCGCCTCTCACTCCGACGCGGCCTGTGCCTATGCTGAGGTGGTAGGCACGCAAGGAGAGATGCAGAGGGAGAGAAGGCGGGGGACAGAGAGGGGGAGTCAATGCGAGGCAATGAGATGCGCGCAGGCCAGCACGAGAAGGCCCCGCCTCTCACTCCGACGCGGCCTGTGCCTATGCTGAGGTGGGAGGCACGCAAGGAGAGATGCAGAGGGAGAGAAGGCGGGGGACAGAGAGGGGGAGTCAATGCGAGGCAGTGAGATGCGCGCAGGCCAGCACGAGAAGGCCCCGCCTCTCACTCCGACGCGGCCTGTGCCTATGCTGAGGTGGGAGGCACGCAAGGAGAGATGCAGAGGGAGAGAAGGCGGGGGACAGAGAGGGGGAGTCAATGCGAGGCAGTGAGATGCGCGCAGGCCAGCACGAGAAGGCCCCGCCTCTCACTCCGACGCGGCCTGTGCCTATGCTGAGGTGGGAGGCACGCAAGGAGAGATGCAGAGGGAGAGAAGGCGGGGGACAGAGAGGGGGAGTCAATGCGAGGCAGTGAGATGCGCGCAGGCCAGCACGAGAAGGCCCCGCCTCTCACTCCGACGCGGCCTGTGCCTATGCTGAGGTGGGAGGCACGCAAGGAGAGATGCAGAGGGAGAGAAGGCGGGGGACAGAGAGGGGGAGTCAATGCGATGCAGTGAGATGCGCGCAGGCCAGCACGAGAAGGCCCCGCCTCTCACTCCGACGCGGCCTGTGCCTATGCTGAGGTGGGAGGCACGCAAGGAAAGATGCAGAGGGAGAGAAGGCGGGGGACAGAGAGGGGGAGTCAATGCGAGGCAGTGAGATGCGCGCAGGCCAGCACGAGAAGGCCCCGCCTCTCACTCCGACGCGGCCTGTGCCTATGCTGAGGTGGGAGGCACGCAAGGAGAGATGCAGAGGGAGAGAAGGCGGGGGACAGAGAGGGGGAGTCAATGCGAGGCAGTGAGATGCGCGCAGGCCAGCACGAGAAGGCCCCGCCTCTCACTCCGACGCGGCCTGTGCCTATGCTGAGGTGGTAGGCACGCAAGGAGAGATGCAGAGGGAGAGAAGGCGGGGGACAGAGAGGGGGAGTCAATGCGAGGCAGTGAGATGCGCGCAGGCCAGCACGAGAAGGCCCCGCCTCTCACTCCGACGCGGCCTGTGCCTATGCTGAGGTGGTAGGCACGCAAGGAGAGATGTAGAGGGAGAGAAGGCGGGGGACAGAGAGGGGGAGTCAATGCGAGGCAGTGAGATGCGCGCAGGCCAGCACGAGAAGGCCCCGCCTCTCACTCCGACGCGGCCTGTGCCTATGCTGAGGTGGTAGGCACGCAAGGAGAGATGCAGAGGGAGAGAAGGCGGGGGACAGAGAGGGGGAGACAATGCGAGGCAGTGAGATGCGCGCAGGCCAGCACGAGAAGGCCCCGCCTCTCACTCCGACGCGGCCTGTGCCTATGCTGAGGTGGTATTCAATCCTGGCAGTGGCATGAAGCTTACCAGCCTTGTATTTTGAGGTGAAGGCTTCAGTGTCCTCGTGGCCCGCCAACTGTCTGTGGAGATTGGGCCGTTCAATGAGTAGTCAAAACTCTCAAAGATGATGCATCTACCAATCGTGAGGATTTTATTGCGCTTGTCCTGAAATTTCTTGGTGAAGTGTGACGGCCGGTCGCTCTCGTTGTCCATCACGAGGGTAAGATTCTCAATCTGCGCCGGGTCGGTGTAGCGTAGAGCCTTGGCCAGAGCGTTGATGACCACCGTGCGCGGGATCCAGAACTGCAGATGTGCGTTCGGGGTCTCGTAGACGATTATCTCTACGGCTTTAGTTGCCGCAGCCTTGTGGGGGAGGGGTTGAGAGGGCAGGGCGAGTGGTGGGGCGATGTGGGGCAAGGGGGAGGGGGAAGGAGTAACGTTGAGAGGCGAGATTGGGGAGGGATAGGGAAAAGAGGGAGGGGGTGCTGGATGTGGCTGGATAGAATGTCGCAGGCCGAAATACATGGATGTTAACGAAATGAATGGGCTGTGTGCTGGAGGGGTTACGCGAGGTGTGGTAACTGATGCAATCAACGCCTAGAACACATGCAAGTTGCACTTACATAGAAGCCGTTGTGCTTCCCTGGTACAGCTGCCAATGCGGTTGCATACTGGTGCGCCCACGTGCGTTGCATACGAGTGAGGTGTCGCAAATTGAGAATTGCCTGGCTCTTGTACGCTGTATTAACTGCGTCAATGATTGCAGGGCGGTTCGGCTCCACCATGATCGTCATGCACGCCATGTTCAGTGTTGCATCGGGGATGTCATCTGCTGCAGCAACCCCGGCAGAAACACCGCCGTGATCTGTGTGGACTGCAGCTGCCGGTTCTCCGCCAGGAGCATTCGCAGGGTTGTTAGGCGTAGCAGGGGCTTGCTGACTGTCGCGGGTGCCATTGGCATGTTGCGAGGCGGCTAACTGACGTTCCAGCCCACGCATGGCATTCTGCGCCTGCAACAGTTGCCGTTCCAGATCGCGGGTTCGTGCGGCCTGCTCCTCGAACGCGGCTCGGTCTACCGGGTTCACAGCTGCTGTTGTGCGGTCGGTGGCTCCCCCGCCAAACAACTCATCCGAATACTCCGGTTCTGGAATCTGCGGCTCAACCTCTGGTTGTTCCTCCAGATCCACAGGTTGTTCGTATCCCGTCCCTTCATCTCCGTCCTCATAGAATGTATCACCCGCCGCGGACCGGAAGGCAGCTGTAGCCGCGGGCTGGAAGGCAGCTGTAGCCGCGGGCTGGAAGGCAGCTGTAGCCGCGGGCTGGAAGGCAGCTGTAGCGGGGTCGGGCTGGAAGGCAGCTGTAGCCGCGGGCTGGAAAGCAGAGGCTGCTGCTGGCTGGAAGGCAGTTGTAGCCGCGGGCTGGAAGGCAGCTGTAGCCGCAGGCTGGAAGGCAGCTGTAGCCGCCGGCTGGAAGGCAGCTGTAGCGGGGTCTGGCTGGAAGGCAGCTGTAGCCGCGGGCTGGAAAGCAGAGGCTGCTGCTGGCTGGAAGGCAGTTGTAGCCGCGGGCTGGAAGGCAGCTGTAGCCGCAGGCTGGATGGCAGCTGTAGCGGGGTCTGGCTGGAAGGCAGCTGTAGCCGCGGGCTGGAAAGTAGAGGCTGCTGCTGGCTGGAAGGCAGTTGTAGCCGCGGGCTGGAAGGCAGTTGTAGCCGCGGGAAGGAAGGCTGAGGCCGCCGCTGGCTGGTATGCAGCTGTAGCCGCGGGCTGGAAGGCAGGTGTTTCCGCCCGCTCTACGGCTGCTGTAGCCGCGGGCTGGAAAGCAGAGGCTGCTGCTGGCTGGAAGGCAGTTGTAGCCGCGGGCTGGAAGGCAGTTGTAGCCGCGGGCTGGAAGGCAGTTGTAGCCGCGGGCTGGAAGGCATAAGTAGCCGCGGCCTGGAAGGCATATGCTGCCGCTGGCTGGAAGGCAGCTGTTGCCGCGGGCTGGGCAGAATCAGACATCGGCGCTGCCTGGATGGCAGAAGTCGGCGCAGGCGTGACGCCACCTGACGGCGCTGGCTGTAGGTCAGGTGCCACCGCAGGCTGCGATGTGGATGCCGGCGTACGCTAGAACGCAGCTGCAGCAGTTGTGTGGCCGGGCTGGGAAGCAGTTGCCGCCGCGGCCTGCGCAGCTGAAGCCGCAGCATGGGAAGCAGTTGCCGCCGCGGCCTGCGCAGCTGCGGGCGCAAGCAAGGCAGCTCCGGCTGCAGGCTGAGAAGCATCTGCTGCCTCGTTGCCGCTCCCGTCATTGCTGTTGCGACCTGCCTGGTGCAAGGAGGCAAGGAATTGCTGCGCGCGTCCGTACGCAGTGGATATGTTCCTCCGCGCAGTTGCACTCCCTCTGCCCGGATTTCTCGCGATTGATGCTGCCGCTCGAGCCTCAGCAGACTCTGGTGCCGTCAGCGAAAGGTCATTGAGACATCCGCGTCTGTTGCCTGCATAAGAAACGGGTGATATGATTAATAGCAAGCTAAAATAGTGCCACACTGTAGTTGTAGAACCGGGATTAATATGACACTGCATTCCCTCCTACAAACTATCTCAAAAAAGTAGGAAGAGGGATCGTTGGCTTACCATGTGCAACGTCGCTCCCCGGTCCGCCAAGAATAACGTGACCTTGCTGGTTCCGTGTGGCAGCAGCTGCTTGCACGACTGCTGAGTACTTGCTACGCGTTCCATAAAACGGTGGTCGTGTAAGACGAGTCGGTCTCTTCTTCGTTACTGCAGAAACTGTTTCCATTGACTACTTTAGTGGAAACTGTCAGTGAGGACAAGCCACTACTAAGATCCATTGCTGCTCTCCAGTATTTATGCATCACTCAGAGTGTGCACTCCTCAACACACCCCACCATCACTGTGTAATGTGATCCAGATGGACGAATCGCGAAGGCACACCACGTTGACGATCTCATAGGTCCCCCATTAATTCAAACTTTTGAACTTCAAAACTCAGAATTGATATAGTGGGTTTGCTCGTTGGGTTGTCTCTCTCTATCGTTCATACACTGCTGTGCTGGAGGCCGTTCACGAGTCGTGTGGTGTGATACTATTGACCACACTACCTGTTGTTAACCTAGGGTTTGGCCTGGAGTAGTCCGTGCGGTGAATCGAGAGGCTTGGATTACAACGAGGGTTGCAAATCTGCATCCCTCGCTACCATCCCTGACGGCGCGTGGCGGGAAAATGACAGTTCAAACGCACCTGGGATGAAGGGAGATACACACACCGTTTTAAAAATTAAACAACACGTTTCGGTGCGGTGACTGCTCGAACATGCCAAGTTCGATCGTCCGTTGTTGTCGCTGGCGTTCATCCTCGCAACGTGCCTTTTTTCGTGCACCAACGCAGAGTAAAGCTTGAAGCCTGCTGCGAACGGGGAGTCGAGTCTGCCAATAGCGAGTCCAAACACACGTTGGTTCCGTCTCATCCGAGCCCTCAACAAGGAACAAGGAACAGATCGAGAGGGAACACAACAACGCGGACAGAATTATTGGCAACCGTTGGGTGAAATATTGGTTACCAATAACTCGCGATGTCGCATCGCACTACACGCTTCTTTTGGTAACTGTTTCGCTGCGAACGCAATTTCCATGTGGTAGTTCGTCAATACCCAGGCCAGATCCGTCTCTACCCAAATTCATATTCTCCTGTGGACTCGGACATCTCATTCAAAGCTTGAATCAAACTAGATTCATCCGCTCAAGCACCGTTAGTTCCTATTCGACCGCCATTTTCACCCCTGTCTTCGCTCCGCACCCCGATTTAGCGTTGCAGCCCGGGTTATCTCTCGTGTTTCTACAAGACTCGCTGCATAACTGCGCTCAATGATCTTCTCACGGTTTTTTCACGTAAACGCTCCAGAAGCGCGGACGATCATCCCCCCATGTTGCTTCCCCGCGCCCCGCGTATTCGCGCACGGGGTACACGCACCGTCATTCGGCGTCTGGCCTGCCGTTGGTGAGCGCGTGTTCCACCGTCGCTTCTCGCTACATGCTCGACGCGGAATCCCCGCTACCGTCGCCTGGTGTTGAAAAGTAAGGGAAGGCACGTGTGTTTCATCCGACGCGCACCCACTACGCAGTCGCACACAAGCACACACACCGGCACACGATCAGAGGGGCACACGAGCAGAGGGGCACACGAGTAGAGGGGAACAAAATCCACTAAAGCCTCCCTTCACGAACGGCCCCCTGTCCGCATTGTCTCTCACCCTCCTCAGGAAGCGGAGCTTTCCGTCTTGTTCCATGCAACCATATGCGTGCGCATGAGAGCAACCCCATCTTCAGCCCCACTCCCCGTTCACACACACGCACACACTTGCCCGCTCCCTCGCTCGCTCTTTCGCTCTTTCTCTCCTCTCCCTCCCTCTGCCAGCCCCTTCATGCTGCTAATCCACTCTCATCGTTCCTGGGAAGCTCAAGCCTCCCATCAACTCCCCTTCTCCCCCTCACCCTCTCCTTTTCCCCCTGCACCTCTTCATCCTATCCCCCTCTCACCGTTCCTGGGAAGCTCGAGCATCAGTTTCGGAACAACAGGTGCGAGTCGTTGATAACATAACCATAATGCCTGGCTGGATCCGATGCTCCCTCTCCCGTGCAGGAGTTGCTCCCTCTCCCGTGCAGGAGTTGCTCCCTCTCCCGTGCAGGAGTTGCTCCCTCTCCCGTGCAGGAGTTGCTCCCTCTCCCGTGCAGGAGTTGCTCCCTCTCCCGTGCAGGAGTTGCTCCCTCTCCCGTGCAGGAGTTGCTCCCTCTCCCGTGCAGGAGTTGCTCCCTCTCCCGTGCAGGAGTTGCTCCCTCTCCCGTGCAGGAGTTGCTCCCTCTCCCGCGCAGGAGTTGCTCCCTCTCCCGTGCTTCCAATGCGCTCACTCCCGTGCGTCCGTTGCTCTCTCTCCCGTGCGTCCCTTGCGCTCTCTCCTGTGCTGCCGTTGCTCTCTCTCCCGCGCTTCCGTTGCTCTATCTCCCGTGCTACCTCCCTCAAACTCCTGTGCAGTCAGCTATACGATTGTACCGATTGCCTCACATACCATGGGTGATGGCGGCCAGAGTGGGTTATGTGAGGCGTGCCGCACCAAGCACAGCGAGGAGACATGATTGTCCTTATTGGCTTGATCATTATTAGCTAGCCTACACGTGTTGACAAGTGAGTCCATGCCACATTGTCACTACGTAGGAGTACTGCTGGTTGTGGTCAAGATGCACATGGGTCTGTTATGTTGTAGTAAATAATGCTGATCAACACAACACATCCATTGAAGAAGATGGCCAGGTCGCCACCAGCTGGTATACAGGGTTCAGGATGGTAGAATATGAGAGTGCAAGAGTACGTGGACTGAAAGACCGACACAAGGATCCGTGCCAATTGACACCGACAGGACAACATATGGAATGCTAGTTCCCAAATGGGACGCGACGTCTTGGACCTGCTGACCTCCGCCACTGCCATTGGTCTGCTGCGAGGCGGCTATCTGATGTTCCAGCCGACTCATGATATTCTGCACCTGCCTCAGTTGCCTTTCCAGATCCCGGGTTCGTGCGGCCTGCTCCTCGAACGCGGCTCGGTCTACAGAGTGTGCAGTCGTTGCAGTACGGTCAGCTGGAGCAGGCGGGGGCTGGAAAGCAGCTGGAGCAGGCGGGGGCTGGAAATCAGCTGGAGCAGGCGGGGGCTGGAAAGCAGCTGGAGCAGGCGGGGGCTGGAAAGCAGCTGGAGCAGGCGGGGGCTGGAAAGCAGCTGGAGCAGGCGGGGGCTGGAAGGTGGCTGGAGCAGGCACGGTGACATGTGAGGCATCTGCAGCAGGCGGGGGCTGGAAGGTGGCTGGAGAAGGCGCGGACTGGAAGGCATAGGGAGCAGGCGCGGGCTGGGAGGTAGCTGGCTGCGGCGCGGGCTGGCCGGCATCTGGAGCAGGCGCGGGTTTAGAGGCAGATGTTGCCGCTGGCTGGTAGGCGCAGGCTACCGCTGGCTGGAAGGCAGGGGTAGCAGCGGGATGTAATGCAGCTGGAGCAGTCGCGGGCTGGAAGGCAGCTGGAGCCGCGGGCTCGGATACATACACCAGCGCGGACTGGATGGCTGAAGTTGGCGCAGGCGCGCTGGGACCCGTCGGCGCAGGCTGTAGTGCATCTGCCGCCACAGACTGCGAGGTCGACGCAATGTTCCGCTGGAACGCAGCTGCATCAGTGGGGTGGCGGGGCTGGGAAGCAGTAGCCGCCGCGCCATGCGCAGCTGAAGGAGCGGGCTGGGAAGGTGTAGCCGCCGACTCCTGGAACGCAGCTGCGGGCGCAAGCAAGGCAGCTCCGGCTGCAGGCTGGGAAACAGTGGTGTGGCCGGGCTGGGAAGCAGTTGCCGCCGCGGCCTGCGCAGCTGCGGGCGCAAGCAAGGCAGCTCCGGCTGCAGGCTGGGAAGCAGTGGTGTGGCCGGGCTGGGAAGCAGTTGCCGCCGCGGCCTGCGCAGCTGCGGGCGCAAGCAAGGCAGCTCTGGCTGCAGGCTGGGAAGCAGTGGTGTGGCCGGGCTGGGAAGCAGTTGCCGCCGCGGCCTGCGCAGCTGCGGGCGCAAGCAAGGCAGCTCCGGCTGCAGGCTGGGAAGCAGTGGTGTGGCCGGGCTGGGAAGCAGTTGCCGCCGCGGCCTGCGCAGCTGCGGGCGCAAGCAAGGCAGCTCCGGCTGCAGGCTGAGAAGCATCTGCTGCCTCGTTGCCGCTCCCGTCATTGCTGCTGCGACCTGCCTGGTGCAAGGAGGCAAGGAATTGCTGCGCGCGTCCGTACGCAGTGGATATGTTCCTCCGCGCAGTTGCACTCCCTCTGCCCGGATTTCTCGCGATCGGTGCTGTCAGCGAAAGGTCATTGAGGCATCCGCGTCTCGTGCCTGAATTAGAAACAGGTGATATATTGATTGCAAGCTAATGTAGTAGCACCCTATGGTTGTAGAACCGGGAATGATATGCTCCACTCATCCCTCGTTCAACCCACTACCGAAAAAAATGCTTCTGGAAAATGCTCTTACTTGGTGCAACCTCGCTTCGTGGCCCGCCAAGAACAACTTGAGGCTGCTGGTTCCATGCAGATGCTGCTGCTTGCACAACTGCTGCGTACTTGCTACTCGTTGCATGAGACGGTGGTTGCGTAGGACGGGTCGGTCTCTTCTTCGTCACTGCAGAAAGGGTTTCCATTGGCTACTTTAGTTGAAACTGTCAGCTAGAGTGAGCCACTACTGAGATCCTTTGATGCTCGCCAGTACTTATGCCTCACGCAATGAGTGCACAACTCAACACATCTGTCATCACTGTGTAAGGTAATCCAGATCGACGAATCAGCCACAGCACGCTGAGGATCTCCCAAGTCCCCCTTAATTCATAATTTGAAATTACGTTTCTACGCATGGATAGAAGAGGCTTGCGTGCTGTCTATAACTATCGTTCAGACACTGCCGTGAGGGAGGCCGTTCATGAGTCGTGTGGTGTGACACTAATGACCACACTTCCTGTTGTTGGCCTAGCGTTTGGTCTGGAGTAGCATGCGTGGCGTCAAAAGGCACGAGGGGTCTAAATCCGCATCTCCCGTTGCCATCCCTCGCGGCACGGTACCTGAAAATTGGCTGGTCGAGCGCACATTTTGCCACGATGTAGGGCGATACAAACCGGCCACAAACCACATAAAAACATTTCGGTCCGGTGAAGGGAGAACAGGGAAGCTCGATCGCCCCTTGTGACGCGGGCGCCCATCCACGCAACGTGCTCTGTTTCGTGCACACAACGCCTCGTAAATTCCCAGTTTCTGTAGTCGGATCTTGCAATATCGAGTTCGCACGCAGGTGGGTTCGACTAGTCCGCCCTCAATCTGGCCCACGGTGACGTGTAAACACACCCGATCATTGGCCATCACACAAGCCATGAAACCTTGGAGCATGGAAGCCAATCGGACGTTACTGACTGCTACACTTGTCAATATTTTTATGGCGGGAGAAATTCGCCACTGTCAACAATGGGTTGAACCAACCAATAAAGAACAAGCAATTCATAGAGACTGAAATGCACCACCATCTGTCACACAGAACGTGGGCCCGATCATACACCCCTTCAGGGAACTCACAGATCCATCGAATGTGCGTGAACTCGTCAAACTTCTACGTCATCGGTCAGTGAATTTGTTGTTACTTCGCCTTCGCTGCTCACCTCAATCTAGCATCGCAACCCGACTAAATCCTCGTGCTTCGATTTTAATCGCTGCGCATTTGAGCTTGGTATCACCGCACCGTCGTCCGTCCGGGAGTTCTCCTTTTGACGCGCCTCACGCAAGCCCAAGGTATCCGATCTCTTTGCTCCCTTGCTCGCCGCGTATTCGCGCCCGGGATCCACTCACCGTCATTCGACATTGGGACTGCCATTGGTGAGCTCAGGCTCGACCGTCGCTCATCGTTACATCTGCTCGATGCGGAATCCCGCATCCGTCGCCTGATCCTCTCTCCCCACCCCCATGCGGAAGCGCTAACCTTCCGTCACACCATAGCACGCTCGCCATTGTTAGCCTTCTAACCTCTCCATTGCTGCCGAACCGCTCCATCCCGTCCGTCCGTTGCGCTCTCTCCCGCCCGTCCGTTGTGCTCTCTCCCGTCCATCCGTTGCGCTCCATCCCGTACCGTCCGTTGCGCTCTCTCCCGTCCGTCCGTTGCGCTCTCTCCCGTCTGTCCGTTGCGCTCCCTCCCGTGCTGCCGTTGCTCCCTCTCCCGTGCTTATGTTGCGCTATCTCCCGTGCTGCCTTTGCTATTTGGCCAGAGCTATTAGGTTGTATGGCGATGACTACCCGTGACCGCTACTACCCCGGCAGCCCTCGAGCATTTTTTCTCATACAAGCTTCAGGAAGGCACAATGGAGACCATCATGCACGGTAAGCTGATATCAATAACTCCCTCCTATCGTTTCCCGCTCCACCCACCCACCAGTCCTTGTTCCCCCACCACGCACACCCCACTTCCCTGCTTCCCCCACCACCCTTCTCCCCCCACTCTCCTGCTCCCTCTACTCTCAATCTTCCTTCCACGCCCTCTCAACTCACCTCCTCTCCATGTCCTGCTTGCATTCTATGCCCGCCCTCACAACCACACTCCCCAAACTCTTGCCGGACCTGAGATTCCTTTCGCCCTCTTACCTTTCCCCCACTATCCCTCTCCCTCCCCTCACCTCCCCCCCCCCCCGCGCGCCCTCCACCGCACTGGAGAGTGCTGCCTTCCCCTGGGCCCCATCACCCTGCTGCCCTCGGACTACAATGTGGAACATTCAAGTATAACTTGTACATCTCTCCCACCACGTGTAACGTGCGCAGCCTCCGCAGTAGGGCAGCTTATCTTGCCCGTTGCATCGCACATTGCGATGGTTATCTTTGGCGCGAGGAAGGCTACCGAAGACTACCATCGGGTGCATGGAGGTAATCCTAAAGTACCCACATTTGTTACGAATCCAACGCAGTTTCCCCGTACTATGATGCATACGCATCCTGACCAGCCCGTGTTTGCACACCCATTTCCCCACAGATTCTGGTACCGCTGTCTTGGCACATCATGCCTCGGTAGGAAGCATGTTGACCTTCGACTTACTATGAAGCCCAAGGCAGTCAGCTATACGATTGTACCAATTGCCTCTCATACCATGGGTGATGGCGGCCAGAGTGGGTTATGTGAGGCGTGCCGCACCCAGCACAGCGAGGAGTAATGATTGTGCTTATTGGATTGATCATTGATCTGTCCTACACAACACAAACCTTATGGCTGTGTATATGGTAGTAATGCTGATTGTGAAGTAAATACATGGCGGTTAGAAAGCTACAGATCACACTGCTGTCACTGTGAAGCGATGCCATATCTGAAAAGAGCCATTATACTATGTGATGAATGATTGGAGTACATGCTAGTATGGAGAGAGACAGAGCAATATCATGTGGACGGAAAGGCTATAAAAGATGTCCTATAGCCTATAATACCGTTACCTGACAATTCTGCAGCCAGGTACAGGCATCTTTGATGGTACCAAACATGGGCTATGGAGATGGCGTTTTCCAAACACAGTGTGACCCAATGTTACCCTAACCTTTGCCGTTTGCAGCAGCAGTTCCCTCCACATCTCGTTCGCACAAACCCCATCCTCGAGATGCCGCGGGCTGTGCGCAAATGGCGGGTGAGTTCGTCGGCTCGAGGGGTGGTGTTATGCGGACTTGTTGCCGAGAGTGGAGTGTTGACCCCGCCCTCGCTTGAGCAACGCCGACGACTTGGTCGGATGTGCGGGAGAAGCATGCGACCGTTCACTGTGGGAACACTGCTCGACGGGCTTCCTCGCACAGCAGGGTACCGCTGTGGTGTTGCCGTCGACCAGGAGTGCACGACGGCCTTCTTCTGCGGGGCAGGTCGACGAGGTGGCTGTCGACCAGCAAAGTACTGTCACGGGGGTGGAGCCGTCAACCAGGGAGATCGACAGCTGCAGATGACTGGGCTGGGCGATGGGTCCCGCTGGCGACCATATACGGTAGGAGCAATTCGACCCCAAGGTCGACGGAGTGTGGCGTCGACTGGACAAGTGAGTAGCTGTCGACGATGGGAGGTCGGCGACAACATCTGACAGTTCCGGTCGACGGAGGGGTACGTCAACCAGGGGGTAGCTCGACAGGAGATGTGGTCGACAACACGCACTGGTGGTCGACCAGCGCACTTGGTGGTCGACCTGGTCGACCACGTAACCTGCTCGGCGAGTTATGCGGAGGCATGCGTACGTCGCCTAGTTTGCGGTGACGAATGCGATGGATGCCAAACGATGCACAGCCGACGGATGCACAACAATGCAGGTCGGGTCAATAGTCTACGCGCACCTGCAAGCGTCGGCACTGGGTACTCGTGGTGCGGTCGGGGGTAAGGATCGGCGTTGTATGAGTGGCGAATGCTCAGCTTCAGCGTTGGCACGCCGTCAACCAGCTCTGTTCGCAGGTCGCCTTTCTCCCGCTGGCGCGGCTCCTTTACGCAACGCTGGCAGGCGGTCGACCAAGCTGTGCTGGCGGTCGAACAGGCTAGCTGCTGAGTTGCTAGGTCCATGATGTAGTCATTTCTGTCATTGCTTGTTAATTCATTCCGTGATTTCGACTTTGCTTGAGGAAACTATAGCCGATTTCACACACTGCGACGTGCAAGCACTAAGAACTAAGCAACGGTGGGAGCCAGGGTGCGGAAGGCACAAGTTGTTATAATGATCGTGTCCCATTCCGTGTTACTTTGTGACGTCAAATTGCGATTGTTCACCGTAGGCTGTTGTGGGGCATACCCTATAGGGTCCTGCACTTTATGGCGTTGCAGTACTAGTTCTCATGCGTCCTACCTAGTAATCACTCTTACGTTCCTACTTCTAATACTCTAGCGGTTGTGCATTCGCCGGGCGAAACAGAGGGACTTTCGCGGAGAAAGGTTGCAAAAACATACGGTAATCGTTAAGGAGCTGCGTCATGCGGGTATGATTACATCAGATGCCCGACAACGCTGCACTCGTGCGGCATCCCAACGCAGCATCCGCATGTGATCCTAACCGCGTGTGACCTGCCGCGTCGACCACGTGCTGCTACGTTGGTCTACGCCGTCACTGCACCAGCCGTGCTGAAGGGCACGACACATACTGCTGCACGTCGTCGTCGCGGTCGGCCAGCTGCTCGGTGGTCGGGATGTACATCAGTGTGAACTTCCCGCACTCCACCAGTACCGAGCATAACGCTCGCATCCATTATGCGAGTTTCCAGAGAGCCTCCCACACACTGGTTAGAACAATATCCACGGATTGCACAGTATGTTCGTTGCCCTAGCCCGCAATCGTAGATGTTTAGCCCTTTTGTGCAAGCATGGCTTGGTCCAAGAATAATATGCGCACTCCTATGACCAGGGATATGTGGTTATTAATGCGACTGTTTCCCTGTAACGTACAAAAGTGCCAAGTATGAAGATCTCCTTATATCTAAGGGTACTATAGCACCATCTCCAGTGCATTTCCAATGAGCAATTCACTACATCAGCACTTGGCCTACCCTATACATCTTTGAGTTACATTCCAAGCAAGGTCAGCCACACATCCCACCCTGGATTTGCATCCAGGTTTTGGTAGCATTCAATGCCAACCCTTCTCATTTGCATCCTTGGTCCTCTCCAAAGTCCTTGTTAGCCAATCACATGGAGTGATGAAATCCAGCAGGCTTGCATCTCATTAACCTCCAGGATGCATTGCTGTCAAGAGTGTGGCATACTGCCTCTAAATTGGAGAGCATGGCCAAGTGCACACAACTTGCATTAGGATCCGCATGGCATTGCTGCCATGAAGATTCCTGGAACAAGGGTAGCATTGCCACCACACCACACAACGCACCAAACTTAGGCCATACTCACAATGACAACATGGTTGCCACATGAGGACAATCATGACAACACATAGTGCTATAGCACGTGCTGAGCTGGCTTTTGATGTTGGGCACACACTTTTGTCTTTAGTTGTGTGCTGCTCTGGTTGCAAACGGACACCTAGGGGACCAGTGAGCCAGTCAGCCGATAGCCGATCGTGGGTTAGCCCTCCCTGCACGAGTCCTTACACAGCCTATCACCTCAGATCTAGTGCTAGACTCGCTGTTCTCTGGAGTTACTATCACAGCTATCCGTGTGGCTAGTAGGTCGGGGGAGTTAAGACAACCCAAGGACCTGAGGTACGCTATAGAGGATATGAATCGCTGTTAGTGGAGGGGCGCGCACGGTTGGTCTGCGGGGAATGTGGGTAACCACTGCTCGCTCTTTGGCGCGGCTGTGAATTCGTTGATTTCCCTAGCCTCCCACCCTCCCTCGACGCTCTCGTATGCTAGTCCCTACGGACAAATCTTCCCCTTCCACCCAAATCCCACTTCCACTATGTGCCATTACATGATCGTTTCTCGTGTTCAAGATGTAGTGTTCTCACATTTCGGCATCTACCCCCTGCCATATTTTTCTGTAATACGCACTCCAAACTCAATACAGAGCGCGGCCTCGTTAAGGACCCAACGTTTAGGACGGGCGCTACGCCCTGCTGGCGACCGGCTCTCAGATCTGCTTCCGACGGACGCACCGACCCGCTGACGACCGTCACTCTGATCTGGACCAACGGGCGCTTCGAGCTGCTGGCGACCGTCGCTCCGATCCGCTGGAGACGACCGCTTCGAGCCGCTGCAGGAGGGCGCTTCGTCCTGTGACTGTCTCGGGCTTTGGACCGCAACCGTCTTGCGCACTATATTGCTGACCCTTCGACGCCGACTGGGCACTCGTGGTGCGGTCTGGGGTAAGGATCGGATGAGTGGCGACGCCACTAACACTGCGTTCACTATCACAGGTGTGCTCAGATGACGAGATTGGGAGCACGGGGGAGCACGGGCGGGGAGCACGGGCGGGGAGCACGGGCGGGGTGCACGGGCGGGGACCACGGGCGGGGAGCACGGCCTATCTCTATGTCGCCTTCATTCTAGACGTACGACTCCGCACGGCTGAATCTTGTTCATTTCCCCTCCTTCTTGTCCCGCCTCCCCCGTCTCCCCCCCCTCCCGGCCCACCCGTTCCCCAGGCCCCCACCCGATCCCTGATCACATCACATTCCTTACTGTTTATGTGGTGTTGTGCGCAGGCATAGAGGTACTGCGCTGGAAATAAGGCGATCGGAGATCGCACATGGTAAGAAGGGCTTGGGAGAACATGTGACCTGTGCCGGCAAGTTTGGAGACCGCTCTCTGCCTCTACTCTCCTTCACCGTGCTCTGCACTCCTCTCTTCTCCGCGCCTCTACTCTCCTTCACCGCTCTCTGCACTCCTCTCTTCTCCGCGCCTCTACTCTCCTTCACCGCGCTCTGCACTCCTCTCTTCTCCGTGCCTCTACTCTCCTTCTCCGCTCTCTGCACTCCTCTCTTCTCCGCGCCTCTACTCTCCTTCACCGCGCTCTGCACTCCTCTCTTCTCCGCGCCTCTACTCTCCTTCACCGCTCTGCACTCCTCTTTTCTCCGCGCCTCTACTCTCCTTCGCCGCTCTGCACTCCTCTCTTCTCCGCGCCTCTACTCTCCTTCACCGCTATCTGCTCCGCGCCTCTACTATCTTTGAGCGATCGCTTAGAGGACCCGTATGGACGATATTAAGTGATGGTAAGGCAAGCTTCTATTGTTGGAATCCGGATGATATGGGCGGATTAAGGATGTGCATTTGTGGTGTATCCCTGATCCCCCCCTTCCTGCCACATCCTTTTGTCCCTGTTTTACCGCCTCCCAACACGATTCTCTGACGAATCCCACTGCAGATCAACGCCTCGCTGAAGACTTGTCGTGCCCCTGTCGACGAGGCGCTGTGCTCCTGCCGACGCGGCGCGTTGTGCTCCTGCCGACGCGGCGCGCTGTGCTCCTGACGACGCGGCTCGCTGTACTCCTGCCGACGCATCGCGCTGTACTCCTGCCGACTGACCCGTTAACTGCTGCCTGCTGTAGCTTTGGAAAGCAACCGTCCTGCGCGTTTGATTGCGGGCCCGGTCATCGTCGGCCCCTCTCCATCGAGTACTGAGGCGGACGTGGTAATCGTGGTGCGGTTCACGGTAAGGCTCAGCGTCCGAGGAGTCGCGACGCCACAAGCTCCGCGTCTAATATCACAGGTGTGCTCAGATGACGAGCTTGGGATCACGGGTGGGGATCACGGGCGGGGATCACGGGCGGGGATCACGGGTGGGGATCACGGGCGTGGATCACGGGTGGGGATCACGGGCGTGGATCACGGGTGGGGATCACGGGCGGATATCAGTAAGGTTGAAAAAACGTGAGCCTACGTCCATCCCTTCATCAGATACTTACATTTGATTTCGAGCCTTTAAGTATCGAGTCTAGTCAAGTTCTACACCAGTCGTGGTCAAATCGTGTACAACTCCCCTCCTCCCTGTCCTCCCCTCCCCCCTCCTCCATCCCTCTCTCCCCCCCCCCCCTCGCCCTCCCCCCCAATACCTGATCACATCGAGGTTGCATGCGGTCGCTGAGGTGGTGAGCGTAGGCATCGAGAGTCAACCAAGGAGAGAAGGCGAGCGGAGATCGCACATGGTGAGAAGGGCCTTGATTTGAAATGGGTGGCATGTGCAGGCATGGTGACATGTGCAGGCATGGTGACATGTGCAGGCATGGTGACATGTGCAGGCATGGTGACATGTGCAGGCATGGTGACATGTGCAGGCATGGTGACATGTGCAGGCATGGTGACATGTGCAGGCATGGTGACATGTGCAGGCATGGTGACATGTGCAGGCATGGTGACATGTGCAGGCATGGTGACATGTGCAGGCATGGTGACATGTGCAGGCATGGTGACATGTGCCGGCATGGTGACATGTGCAGGCATGGTGACATGTGCATGCATGGTGACATGTGCAGGCATGGTGACATGTGCAGGCATGGTGACATGTGCATGCATGGTGACATGTGCCGGCATGGTGACATGTGCATGCATGGTGACATGTGCAGGCATGTATGGAGAGGACATCAGCCTATGTTTCAAGTGCATTGCTTGCACCTTACCTCACGGTGCACCGAACCGCACAGGGTTTCAGCTGCTGGTTTTCGCCCCTGTCGTGAGGCACCCCGTCCTCTCCTCTACACGCCTCCGCTCCCCTCCTCATCCCTCCTTCCACGCACTATGCTCCCTTCCTTTCTTCTCCTTCCACGCTCTCTGTTTCTCTCCTCTCCTCTCCTTCCACCCTCTCTCCTCTCCACCTTCCCTCTCCTTCCATCCTCTCTGCTCCCTTCCTCTCCTATCCTGCCACGTTCTATGTAGCACTCTTCACAACCCACTCGCAGTGCAGTTGGCTGGCGCCATAACAGCAGATCTACCGTAATTGCTATCGACAAGGGGACACACGGCATCGTGGTCAAACGAGCTCCTCTCTACACAGGGGGACCGATTTATGGTTGTGTGCAGAGGAGGGTAAGGGGAGGAAACGAAGGTGTCACGCAGTGTGAGCATTACCCGCATATGAGTACAAGTGCACTCACGGGTGGGAATCACGGGCGGGGTTCACACCGGGAGTCACGGAACGGCATGTTTGTCTCTGTAATCTCATAACCATCCTTCACCCCGCAACACTTGGGGGACGACCATCAATGCATTTTTCGCCCGTTGCCTTCCCCTATTCTGTTGCGTATAGTTTACAGATGGTTACGCGACGAGCTGACTCTAACTGGCATCGCGGCTCTGAAGACGGTTTCGGTAGACGGCAACTAGAGCTACGGCGAGGAAGATGGGAGTTGAGCAAGCGAAGGAGCATGTAAGCCATGTACGGGAAGAGGGGAGATAGTGAGGGGACTACAGCATGTGTGGTGAATATGGGGGGATGTGAGCCCGTGAGGTATGGTGAGAAGGGTGGGCTGAATACGGGCGTGGGGGAGCCAAGTGAGGTGACGTGAGCATGTGCGGTGACCAATAAGGGAGCTGAGCAAGCGAGAGGGCACAAGGGCGTGAGCGAGGGTAACTTGGTAGATCAGGAATGATCATAGCTGGTCTGTAGATATGACATGTATTAGTATAACACTCCGTTTACTCTCCATGTTGGCAGGCACGGAGCTTCCCTTGGTTGCTCACCCTTCTCGAAATCCAACTGCCGGCCGCTGCATCTAGATCCCGCTTTACGGGTCTCTGGAGCTGCAACGCGCCTTTATCCGCGGATATCTGTTGAGGAAACAGGCACAGTATGTCGCCATTGTGTGTTTTACCCAGTATCTACTCTAGTTGAACTGCTGCTGCTACTGGTTCATTCAACCCTATTATATATCGGCATATTGTACTACCATGCCGTGTTCGTGCATGCTTTGACACTATTCACGTATGTGCGTTTGTTCCCAGCAGGCAAACTACAAGCCTGATGGAGTACTTCCGCTGTGGCAGCTGCGAGATGCCGTTTAAGAGCCAGAGGGGCCTGACTAATCACGAAAGCAGGAAGCGGGTCTGTCTTGAAAGCCAGCGGCGAAATGCGTTCAATATTGGGCCGAGGCGCGGAATTCTGGTGCCACCCTTGGAACCGGTTGAGCTGACTTTTAGTGAACCTGTGTTGGCTCCCGTCCCTGTCGTTGTGACTGTCGGGGACAACCACCCCGTGGTACTAGATAGCGAAGTAGAATCGGATTATTATTTTGATTCTGTGGAGGACTTTGGGGAGGAAGAGGAGGCACCAACTGAGTTTGATACGAAATTAGAAGTGTTCCGGTTTTTGCAGAGCTGCAATAATGGGACAGGCATGAGTGGACCTGATGTAAGCTATTTCTTCAAAGTGGTGAAGGCCCCCGGATTCGACCCAACAGTCCTTGCCGACTGGTCAACCAAAGCAGCAGTAGATCGTTTTGGCATGGAGAAATTAGGGATAGATAAACTGGTCTTTAAGAGCGTGGAGATCAGGGTTCGGGGCTGGCCAACTCCATTCATTGTCAAGATCTTGGAGCCAGTGGAGGTATGTAAGGCTTGTGCATACTCAAGCTAGCCATGCATTGCATGTGCATATGCCTAAGAGCCACATTCTCCCATACCACTTTCAGGCACTAAGGCGGATGTGGGCAGATCAACGGAACGCCAAAGGATTCGTGCACCGCCCGACGAAGAAGATGGTTAAGGGGCGCAGAGTCTACGAGGGCGCCCACCATGGCGACTTCTGGTTGGAAGCCATTGTATGTGTTTTTTTACACCTTTTTTAAGTTCTGTTGTACGACTACATGCAATCCCGTTGTACAGCATGTATAGTTCTATTTTTGACAAGTCCCTGCACTGCACATGTCCAAACCTTTTTGTAGCACCTCTTCATGCATTAGTATAGGCTTGAATGTGCGGCGTCTCAACACATGACGATGCATACAGCTAGTCCCCGCACATGCCCTCGTTCCCGCCATGACCTATGGCACACTACATCCCTCACCCTTCCCTCATCATGATAATTATCTCCACCGTTCTGTTGCATCTCTTCATGCAGGCTTACTGGACACCACCTCGTCTCAGCCCATGCCCGGTGGTAGCTATGACCTATGGCACACTCCAGCCCTCACCCTTCCCTTTTCTTAACTATCTCCTCCCTTCTGTTGCATCTCTTCATGCAGGCTTACAGGACACCACCTAGTCCCATTCCATGCCCACGATCCAGCCATGACCTATGGCACGTAGCAGCCCTCACCCCTCATTTTTCTAAACTATCTACACCTTTCGGTTGCATCTCTTCATGCTGCCTTACAGGACTCGACCTAGGTCCAACCCATGCCCTCGTTCCAGCCATGACCTATGGCACACTCCAGCCCTCACCACTCATTTTTCTTAACTATCTACACCTTTCGGTTGCCCCTCGTTCCAGCTATGACCGTTGGCACAGTCCAGCCCTGACACCAACCTGTTTTACACCCTCAACTCCTTTATGTTGCTTCTCTTATTTCAGGCTCACAGACCGGCAGCGATTCCCAACCCATCCACTCGTTCGTGCAATGTCCTTTTACACATTCCATCCCTCAATCAACCCTTTGCTAAGCATTCTACACCTTTATGTTGCCTCTCTTTATGCAGGATCATAGGACCGTATGTGCGATGAGACCATGCATGGCTTTCCCTGCAGTGGTTCCCGGTTTTCATCTACTCCTAGCTATCACCTTCCATAGATTCCAGCCCACACTAGTCCCTTACCCACACTTCCCCACTTATATGATGCCCCTCGTCTTGCAGGCGCACATGAATCGATAAGCGGAGTTTCTACGCAACACCTCACTCGTGGTAGCTATTCCTAGCCCTCCTACCTATGGCTAGCACCTTTAACACTATCATGTCGTGACCCACCCCTTATCCTCACCGTTTCATCCCTCTCGTGAACCCCTTAATCCCGCCAGAAAGGGTTTGGCGAACATGACGTCGTCTGCCCGTTGATCCTGTCCAGTGACGAGACTACATTGAGTGGTAACGGGCGATGTCGTGCCTGGCCGGTGTACATGACATTTGCTAATCTCCCAGTTGAGTTGAGATGGACGGAACATGGGCGTGCATTGGTTGCGCTCCTCCCTCAGCCAGATGCAGAAATGGAGCCATGGCAGAAATTCGAGCTCTTTCAGAAGAGTTCGGACTCGATTTTTGACAACCTCGCAGCACTATGCACACGGTAGGTAGCGTTGTGGTTTCATGGTATTCCTCGCGGGTTAATGAGGAGGTGTGTGCGTTGGTTAATGTGCTCATACCACTCTCCATTTCCATGTTTGCGTGCGTGTCAGCTCTCTCCCGTTGACAGATCCCAACGGCGACGTGTACACAGTGTGGCCGAAGCTGTTCGAGTACGTAGCCGACTATCCCGAGACGTGTAAGGTGACGTGTACCATGCAACACAACTCCGCACGCCCATGTTCCATATGCTATGTGTCAAAAGCGGATCTCGATGTGATGGACCCAGCCATCATCGACTACCGAGATATAGAACGGCAGAAAGAATATGCGCAGGACCCAAAAAAAGCTAAGGACTATTCGACAGTCATGAGGGATGTAAGTGGCCACCCTTATGGCTCGCACATGAATGAACCGGCTGCATACTGATAGGCGTTGGGAATGTCTATGCAGACCTTTTTGTGGCATTTTGGGAAACAAGAAGACTTGAAGCAAGATTGGGGGAATCCGTATCGTGTTATTCAGCCCGATGTGTTGCACGTCATACTCATTGGAGTATGGGTGTACGTACTCCATCAACTGGTGTGCAATAACAAGAACGTTAAGATCATGAACGAGTGAGTTTTTAACAGTTTCACTTCCATTCCCACTTTTTGATGTTCACAAACTTGTTTCCTTCTTCGAAGAATCATTATCCTATTTGCTTTGCAGGAGGCATAGGATTGTGTACCGGGAGGCTCGTTTGGCAGGGATCAAGATTCCTCCTCCTGGCCGATATTTCAGCCTCGGGGCCAATTTCTCGGCGGCGGATCATGCAGCAATGCTTCGGGTGAGTGGTACTCGCTGGCATTCTGATGTGCCCCACGAGTCTCCCGAACCTTGTTAAAGTACGTCGAGTGATTGTCGCGTATACTGCAACATGTGTGTCTCTGAAACTCGCCCCCCATGCACTTATCAAGTTGTGGTGTTCATCATGGAAGGGCTGATTTCGCCGTCGGAACTCTATGTGCTGCGGTACTTTGTGACGTGGTTTGACAAGTTCTTTCGTGCAACCTCGTATGACGATGCAATGCTCGACGAATACGTGAAGGAAACTGCAGAGTAAGTTTCCTTGTTCTAGCATGCTAGTGCGCAGTCCTATTCATCGCCGTGTGTGAGGCTATGTGTAAAACATGCAATCACCCTCATGTCGGATGGTTCTCCCACGTTTTCCCTACTTGCTTCTACAAACCCCGTTGTCTCCACTCTTCCCCACATTGCTTGCATTTGACCGGTCACATGTTCGCAGACTTGTCCGGCTTGTGAAACTTGTGCTCCCACGAGGTGGCAACGGGTGGAAGCTGGTAAAAGTGCACTTGCTTCTGCACTTCCCAGATGCGATCAGGCGAGGCGGATTGCCACGCGAGTTTTGCACTAGCTTGTTTGAGCACGCACACACTGCGACGTGCAAGCGTCCCTTTCGCGCCTCAAACCACCGACAGTTTGACGTGGCCATCATGCGCAATGCGGTCATGCGGGATGCGTTGAGCCTTCTGCCGACGTCAGTGGCTGAGAGTGGGCACTACGACACCGCTCTCATGAAGGTGTTACACACATACACTTGGTGATTCAACACATGGAAGTTGTGAAGGTGTGAGTTTGACCTGCCTAGGCACTTCCAAAGCTCTCTAAACCCTTCTTCTCTGGCCGTTAAGTTCAACAAACAAGTGTTGACAACCAAGGCAA